TTGTAAATAGGGAGGAATGGAGGGGTTGAAGGGAGGGCTGGGCAAGGGTGAGAAATAAGAACCAAGAGAGACTATGTAAAGGTGCAAATTTCCAACGATGAGTGTCATTATATTGTATACCTAAAACGTACCAATGATTAGAATGAATAATTGATAAGGCAAAATAGGAAGAAAATGTTGAAAAGGGTAGGGATAGTGGGAGGGGCAGGGGAAAGGAAAGAAGGGAAAGGAAAAAATGATGAGAAATGGAAAAAAATGGAAATAAAGTCTTTGTAAATAGGAAAGGGTGGTGGGGATGAAGGGAGGGCTAGGAATGGGAGAAAAATAAGAACCAAGATGCATTATGTAAAGGTACAATTCCCAATGAGAAATGTAATTGTGTTGTATACTTAAAATGTACCAATAAAAGAATTAAAAAAAGAAAAAGACTAGGGCTGGGGATTTAGCTCAGTAGTTCCACTGCCTGCCGTGCAAGCACAAGGTCCTGAGTTCAAACCCCGGTAACCCCCCCCCCAAAATGTTCTAAGACTAGTGCCTCTTTTGTACATTTTCAGGTGAAGTACACATATATGTCAATTTATTTATCATACTGTTTTCCTATGCTGTGGCTCTCCCCTGGGTTTGTGGTCTAGAAAGCCTGTCACCAAAACTACAGGAAAAATTTCATACTTGAAAGACTTTATTTCAACTCATGGCTTAATGTTTTAAAAAGAGTCATTTTGTCAAACTATGTTCCTTTTGGCTAGATGGACTTACTTTTTGTGACTAAACACTTATCCCAAAGAATCCTTGTCTTTGTTTCTCTGCATACTTTTCAGCACTAATAGGCAGATTCAGATATTTACCACAAAAATACTCAAGATCATGAAAAATATAAACAGAGTTTGTGACCATGACATTGAGAATGTCAACATTGCTTTCTAAAACATAGATGTTAAAATGGTATTAAAAGTCAAGGTCCATGATAATGCTCTGTGATAAGTGGATAGAACCAAAGGAATAAAAATAGCTGTACAGTCTGAGAGATTTTCAATGCTGCTACCATTTATGAGGAAAGACTTTTTTTTTCTTTCTCCACATTCAAAGATTTTTCTACTTGGCAAAAAAGCGAAATGATTATAACATGAATGGAGGAGAACCCTGGCTAGTGAAGTCTAAAGCTAATAAACTAACTTTTCTTTCTTTCTTTCTTTCTTTCTTTCTTTCTTTCTTTCTTTCTTTCTTTCTTTCTCTCTTATTTTTGGTACTGGGGATCAAACTTGGGACCTTGCACTTGCACAGTAGGTGTCAGGACCACTGAGCTAAATCTCTGGCCCTAAAGCTAATAAACTTTTAAAAGCTGTCAAATACTACAAACATCACAAAATTAAAAAAATAAAATCACAATGAAGAACATTTATATTTTGTACATAGCAAAAAAAATTATGGGACACTTAAATTTTCACCTGTCTCAGAATTTACTAACACTCATAAGTAATTTATCAATGTGCTTGGTGATGAATTTAACACAAACCATAATCCCTGACTGAGACCTTAGCCCTAAATCTAACAATAAACCAACTCTAATCCTAGCCCTAGCCCAAGCCCTACCTCTAAGCCTAACATTACACTTAACCCTATACCTGACACTGACATAAAACTCTAAACGTAACCCTACTCCAGGTCCTTATCCCTAACCCCTAAAAATAACCACTTAACCCTACTCCAAAACCTTACCCTAACACTAACCCTAGCCCTAACCCTAACCATGGCTGTGGTAGACACCTGTGCCTAGTGTTAGCAGGTTTCTTGTCCCTCTATAATTTGGGTGTCTATTAGGAGCCTGACTGACTAGAGCTTTATGTGACTCAAATGGGCACATCAGCAGAGCTGGGCTTAGTGTTGCTCCTTTGCTAATGGCTGCTACCGAAACTTAAGTCCTAGTCCATGAAGTAGCAAGGCTCAGATGAGTTCACTTCCAGCCAAGGTCAACTGACTGTAACTAAATTCCTCCCCTGTGAATTAACCATTTGTTCTCTTTGGCAAAATATATGCTAGTGCCCTTGCTTGCAATACTGTTATCAGCAGGTGTCCCGAGGCTTGCCCAGCTTCCCTCCTTCCTATACTTGTAATGAATAAACACTGGATGTCCTTGGTATTGCCTTTACTGCCTAGAGCAGCTTAGATCAGCCCAAGACTCAGCTCTCTCTTAAGTCTCTGTCTCTGTTCCCTCTTTCCTATCTTGAGAACTTCATACTGTCTCATAGATCAAGGCCCACTGCAGGGATCTTCATTAATATCTCTTATAAAAACCCCAGACTTAACCCAAATCCCAACCAGAACTCTTAACATAATCTTAACACAACCTTAACCCTAACTCTAGAACCCTAAACCCTGACCCTAAGGTATAACTCTAACTCCTAACCACAAGCCTAGTTTGACTCTGATAATAACATCAAACTCAAACCCTACCTCAAACCTAACCCTAGACTCTAATCCTAGCACTAACCCTAGCCCTAACCCAAATCTTTAACTCTAAGCCTGAACCCAGAACCCCAACCCCAATCATAAACCCTAACGCTGCTCCTAACCCTGAATCCTAACCCTAACCCACTGTATAACCCTTACCCTCTACATAATCCTAACCCTAACCCACTGTATAACCCTTACCCTCTACATAATCCTAACCCCTGGCCTCATCCCTAAATGCAAGCCTAAACCTAAACCCAATCCTAACCCTTGATCCTCATCCCAAACTATAATCCCAACCTAACAGTAACCCCAACCCCCCAACGCTAACATCTTAAAAGTAATTTAACCCCAATCTCTAACCCCCAGCATTATCCCCTAACCCTCACCCTCAACTCTAATCCTTAACCCTAAACTCAATTCCTAATGCTTAATCCTAACCTTTTCATAACCCACACCCACTCTATTGTTATCTTCAAGTCCTAAACTCAAATCCTAGAATTTTTTTCTTTTCCTTTCCATTTCTGAAAACTGTTAGACCACATATTCATGTTACCCAAGCCCTCTCCTATAAAACAACCTGCACAAGCTTGAAGTCTTGAAAAGAAAGGAAGAAAGAAAGGCAGACTGACTGATGTGATCCTCCTTTCCATTTGTTGATCTTGTCTCTAAAATTTGAGATGTTAAGGATATGTTCAACTGGCTTGAATTTGTGTCTCTCAGATTAACTCTCAGTAGCCCACAAAACTGTTTAATCAATTTGTGGCTTGTTTTTTTCTTAAATTTCAACATAAAGTGTAAGACCAAGGGCCTTACCAAACGCTCCGAGGAGCTGATCGCAGTGAAGAACACCCGGGAAGGAACACACTGGACAAGTTGGAAAATAAAACAGACCTTTATTAGTCTGGCCAGACGGCACTCCCAAAGCAAAATAGCTTAGAGAGGCAACTGGCTCAGAGTCCGAGGCTGTTTTTATAGGGGGTTGAGGGGGAAGTTAACATATAGAATTAAAGAAAAGGGGACAAAGGTTAGTGGTCGACTGTCACGTATTGATGGTCAGCAGACATTTGCAGCTTGTTCTAAAAATTGTGGTGCCCAGAACTGATGTTCCGGGCAAACAAGGAGTTGAGTAGTTTACTTTGGGACTTTAGGTCTGTTACAGATTTTTATCTAGTGTCCCAAAACTAACAAGCATCTTTATCCATTAACTCACATTTAATCACAATGGGGCTGGAGAAAAGGAACAAAGGTTATGCAGTCCCACAAAGTTAAGGGAAAAACTGTCACTTTTGGCCTTAGCGATCTGGACACATACCTGGGCACACTGGCCTCCCTTTACCAAAAACTTTCGAGGCAGTTGAGTAGGAACCCCATCCTGAAGCCCTTCCTGAGGTTCCCTCCCCACATGATGCATGGGAAACATTCCCTCTCCTTCTTGTTGGGGTCCCTTCGTGCTGTGTGGTCCTGACCTATGCCTGTCCCTTAGAGTGTGTCTTACAGTCATTAACTAGCAACACTTGTTCATTCAGTCTTTTCATCTCCCAGGTATCAGCTTTCTACAAGCAAAACAGCACCAGGTCTGGACCCTGGGGCACCAACTGCTTGAAACACAGCTTCTCTGTGTGCGAGTTTCTGGTTTTTTGCCTCAATGTATAGAGTCTCTTCCCTTTAACCCCCACCGCCTGTTTCACGAGTAACACGTGCCAGATCACAGGTACCCACATCCTTTGACAGCACTGGAGCCGGTCTGAGGGTGCTCTGCCTCAGGTGCTGCCCTGGAAGGGCACGTGCAGACTGACCCTCGGCCCACACCAGAAAAGTACCCAGTAGACACGTAGCCAGCACCCCGCCCCCGACTTCACAGCCCATAAGTAGGAACGCAAAGGGTCAGACAAACCCAGGAGGTGTTGTTTTGTCCCACAACCCAACTATAGCGTATACTCCTTTCACTTTGATCTCATCTCCCCTGCTTCCTGCCTACTCTTCCAGAGACAGTCCCCGCATCCTGCTACCCACTTCCGGTCCAGCCCGACTTCCGGGTAACGCACCCTGTCCTGGTAACGCGCCCTGTACTACTCCCGCCTCCTGGGGGAGGGGGCACCCGACTTCTGCTTCCGCCGGCGCTTCGGGGCGCCGAGTGCGTCTCGTGCTATCATGGCAGCCGCGGTACCCGCGTCTGTGGAGCTAGGCTTTGCCGAGGAGGCTCCGGCATGGCGGCTGCGCAGCGAGCAGTTCCCCAGCAAGGTGGGCGGGCGTCCGGCGTGGCTGAGCGCGACCGCGCTGCCGGAGCCCGGGGCCCTGACGTGCCCGCGCTGCGGCCGACCCCTCGCCTTCCTGCTGCAGGTGTACGCGCCATTGCCCGGCCGCGCCGACGCCTTCCACCGCAGCCTCTTCCTTTTCTGCTGCCGTGAGCCGCCGTGCTGTGCGGGCCTCCGAGGTGCGGGGCGTCGGGGCGGGAGGCTGGGCGGACAGGGGCCGGGCGGAGGGTCGCCAGGCTGGGTGGGCGGCGGGGAGCGGCTCCCGGGTCGGGGCTGCCTGGGTGCGCTCCTGGTCTTCGTATTCACTGCATACCCTAGTCGCTGCCCACGCTGTTTCCTAACCCCAGCCTTCTGATTAATCGGTGGGTATTAAATTTGGATGCCTATGTTCAGATAGAAGTTGTCTCTTAGAAACAGGTTCTGTTTAACGATTAGTCCTATCATTAACTTGATTACTCGAATTAGCTCCAAGAGCACACTTAATTGCTTGGACCAGACAACAATTGTTGGATTTTTAAAGCGTTTTTTTTCTGTTTTGTTTTCTTGTCTCTGGAAAAAAGGCAATATTTAATAATTTTTAAATGAATACCTTTTCATTCTACAGGGTGTGGCATAGAGGCCCTGCTGCTGAATTGGTGTTCTAATTCACTGAAAATGTTTATACTTTCCTCTTTCCTAGTTTTTAGGAATCAGCTACCCAGGAAAAATGAGTTTTACTCATTTGAGCCACCTTCTGAGCACCCTCCCCCAGAAGCAGGAGAATCTGTGTGTCTCCAACTTCAGTCTGGCACTCACCTCTGCAGGGTTTGTGGCTGTTTAGCCCCCAAAACATGCTCCAGATGCCACCAGGCACATTACTGCAGTAAGGAGCATCAGACCCTAGACTGGAGGTTGGTACATAAGCAGACTTGCACACAAGGTAAGACTTTCTTCTAAATCTCAGCTCAATTTCAGAGTTTTTGTCAACCCAAATATTTTATTTCCAGGTTAGTTCCAAAGTTAAAATTAGAAAAGTTACAGTCCTTTGCCTTCATATAGGCATTTTTACTACAAAAAGCTCATAATATATAGGAAGCAGCATGGGTAACACCCTGAGCTTATATAGTAAGTGTTATAAGGCATTATTACCCCCAATGTAAAATACTAGAAATACACACATTAATTTAACAGAGAAAACTTTTACTGTATGGAATATGCAGCAGTGGTCCCTTAAAATACTAATGTTGTGGTATAGCACATTACTCATGTTTGTGGTGATGCTGATACAAACCTATGCTGCCAGTAAAAGTATAGCATACAATATGTAATGCTTGGTAATAGGTAACTATGTTACTGGTTTATATGTTTACTATATTTTTGATTTTAGAGCATATTCCTGTATGGTAGGAAAACTTATTGCAAAAGGGTATGCTGTGTTAGGCTGATAGCAGTCTTATGTATCTAGTGTTTGTCATGTCTTTTGGTTACCTCATGAGGGTATGTTGAGTGATTAACCTTTATCATCTAAGTTTTTTAAATTCATTCTGATGTTCCAACAATGATAACATCACTCAATGACACAGCTCTCATATCAAACAATGCATAGCTCTGCTTTAGAAATAGGAAGCTTATACACCATTTTCAAAACTAAATAGCTATTTATGATAGTAGTAACTTTTTTTGTTTTAGCTCAGTTGAACCATCCAGTTCCAGACCACAACTTCCTTTTTCCAGAATTTGAAATTGTAATAGAAACAGAAGATGAGACTGTGCCTGAAGTTGTAGAAAAGGAAGATGACACTGAGATTATAGAAAGCATGGGTAAGGAATCACTTTCAGAATTTCAGTAAATGAACAAATACAATGCTAGAAAGAAAGGGCTTAGTGTGTTTAAGAAAAGTGGTACTGTTAGTGGATTTAGGGGTGCTAGAATCTCCTTCTAGAAGTGATTTCTAGGTTCCTTCTGTCCTGAATAAAGAATTGAACAAAACAAGCATAAACAGCGGGAGAGTTACACATTTATGAATGGTAGGAAAGAAAAAAAACACAGAAGGATAGAATGAAAAGAGAATGTTAGGTTTTTAATAAACATGTTAGTGTTGCTGTTATTTTGAAATGGTTGTACCTAGGGGAGTCATTATGTTAGTGTATTGGGCCTGGGAGAAAGTTGACATAATAGATATGTAAAATTAAAAACCTTGTTGGTCTGAGTTTCTAATGGAAGTGTCATTATGAACTCATGTGTTCCATCCACTACAAAGGCCTAGAAATAATGATCAGCTCAGTAGTATTGGGTATTTCTAATGCATAAATAACATTTCTTTCTAAAACAAGACCCAGTCTCTTTGGATAAGTGGTTGATTCCAGCAGATGTTCAGATAACGTTGGAATACGATCATGACAGAGATCAAGGAAGCTATCAAAGATTATGGGGGTTATGTCAGAAGGAGGCACACAAGATAGACAATATGAACTGATGTCTTCTGTCCACAAGAATATAAACTGCAGTAGATTAAAACACATTAAATATGTTTAAATTAATGAGTTCAAAATTACAGCTTAAAAGCTATTCTAATCTGACTTTGAAAATTGGTGAATTTTTTCTGGGATACATAACTGAATTACTCATAAAGTGACATGAATGGGACTTGCTTCAGATTAACTGAATTGGGGGACCTGAAATTTTAGTTGGTAGTGATCCACTATACTGTTTCTGCTTTTGTTTATGTTTAACATTTTCCAAAATAAAATGAAAGGAAAAAAAATATTCCTGCAGGTAGCTGTGTCCTAGCTCAGACTTAGAGCTCCTGGGTAAAAGAGATTGACAGAACACAGTAGACCCTGAGAAACCACTGAAACGTCCTGCAGGTCACACTGAAACTTTGCTCCTACACTTGATGGAGCATGTATCTGAAGGCATTTATTATTCTTCGTGGATCATGACTGTGCCAGTGAACACCATAAATGTTTTTCTAAGCTCAGAGTGGTGGACTTTTAAGTCAGCTTATGTGATTCAGGACATCCAATTATAATTGTGATACATCTTACAGACTGGCAGCCACCAGCCTCTTGGGAGCACCAGTGGCTCAGGGTGGTTAGAGTTTCAAGACTGAATGTGAAGCAGCTAATGACCTTTAGATAACTGATTGAGAATTGAGTATCAAGTGGGAAAAGAAATGTATGAGACATAGGAGACTTGAAATGAGTCCAGGCAGGTAAAGGAGAGTAGCTGTAACAAGAGCTCACATCTGTTGGGTGTCCTGTGATGTACTTCGCATAGTCCTGAAACCTTCACTTGGGCCTATTCTTTTAATTTGAAGCTTTAAAGAGTAGAGGGAGCCTGCATAGTGATTATATAATGTGTGGAGCACCTGGAAATAAGCATGAATAAAAAGGGAACACTAATAAAAACTGGACTCCCTCCACTCATGGAGATTATTCCCATTTCATAATTGTTGTGGTGCTTTTTCAGGTGAAGCACCTGAAGAAGAATTGGATTCCATGGCCAAGCATGAATCTAGAGAAGATAGCATATTCCAGAAGTTTAAAACTCAGATAGCCCATGAATCAGAGCAGGTAAAATGAAAGTTACACCTCTTCATTGTGGGTTGTTTTTTTCACCTGTATTTTGTAAGTATAATCCCTGAGAAGTAACTCTATAAGAAAGCTAGTGTGTTCCTTTGAAGCCTGTAAAAATAGGCTTTTAGGGCCGGGGATTTAGCTCAGTGGTGCCGCTGCCTGCCTCGCAAGCACAAGGTCCTGAGTTTGATCCCCACTACCAAAAAAATAGCCTTTTAAAATTTTGTTACAAGGGCCGCGGATTTAGCTCAGTGGTTCCGGGGCCTGCCTCACAAGCGGAAGGACCCAAGTTCAATCCCTGGTACCAAAAAAAAAAAAAATGTTTTTTTGTTACAGATACCCTTCAAGCAGATGGGCCACACAGAAGGGTGTTGGCAATTTTGCTCCATTTAATAGCTATTGAAAGACTAAAGTGAAACAAAAAGACTAAAGATTATACTGTTTATCATACAGGAATTATTTTATAAAGAAAACATCAGGGGTGGAAACTGAATGAGATCTTCCTTAAGATACATGGAGTTTAGGCACCACTGATTTTATTTATAAATTTATAATCTATATCCTGAACACTAGGAAGGCAATTTTTAGCAAGTAGACTAAAAATAGGGATAGGGAAACCATTTGATTGTTGCAAGAAGCTAATTAGAATGAATTAACCCATTTGTAAGATTAATGCAAACGCTGTATTTCACTAGATATTTGTCATTTTTAAAATGTGTAAGGTTCCTTACATGTATATGAAGGTAAGTACCAAGTTAGTACCTTGTACATAGAATCTGCTAATGGGGATATTCTTGGTTCCTTCACAATATATTTATAGAATAAGATTCTAGCATCTTAGAAAAAGTATTATTTAGGAAATAAGCTGAAATAATTGCTTTGGGGAAATGGAGAACAGATTAGCAGTGCGTACTATAAAATGTCTCTCAGACCAATGCTCTGTTAAGTGTAGGAGCACACACACAATTTCTCTATGATCATCAGATGGCATGTTACCACTGGAAAACTCTTAGGTGATACACTAATATTTAAATGTGGTCCTCATTGATTTTAGATTCTCAGATATGGCAGAGGTATTGAGCCCATCTGGATTTCTGGTGAAAATATTCCTCAAGAAAACGATATTCCAGTTTGTCCCTGTGGTGCCAAAAGAATATTTGAATTCCAGGTATAGATTATTTCACTGTAATCATCCTGCTTTATGCTTTTGGATATTAGAAAATGTTACTGATTAATGTGTACGTGGGTCAGCTTGGTAGTATGAAAGGTGCTGTATAATTCTGAGCTTGTGGTGCTTCCTGCTTTGAAGAAGTGCTCTCACTGAGTGTCCCTCTCCTCAGGTCATGCCACAGCTGCTGAACCACCTGAAAGCAGACAGACTGGGCAAGAGTGTGGACTGGGGCATCCTGGCTGTCTTCACTTGTGCAGAGAGCTGTAGTTTGGGCAGTGGCTACACAGAGGAATTTGTGTGGAAGCAGGATGTAACAGATACACCTTAAAGCTTTAAAGTTACTGGTGTCTTAAAAGTTTGCAATTCCATCCTTAGGACTTTATCCTAAGGAAGTAACTTTGGATAGTTACTTAGTAACTTACAGACAAGGATATACAAACTTGTTGCTGGAGGCATTGTTTTATAATGTCTTAAGTAACTAAAACAAAAATATCTACTGGCAGAAAATTTCATAAATTTTGTTACATCCAAGGTGGAAAAGAGTAAGTGATCTAAATATCATTATAGATGGTATTCACGGTATGGTAGTTTTGTAAAAATATTTATACATTGTATAAGTACTTAGAAATAAAATTACAAAGATACAATAAACTGGTTACCTACAAATGGAGAGACTGAAGAAATGTAATACCCAAAAAACTACACAACTTCATTAGGCTGATGAACTGAAGTGATAGTACCAGAGTTGACAGGATCAAGGAGCATGGTGAATTTGTCATAAAAACACCTGGATTTGAAGGGGCTCCACTCCAGAGCTGACCGAGGTCATCCACAGGCCCTGCCTGCAGAGGAAGCAAAGGTGAAGCCAGTCTTCCCTCTTTTTCTCACTTGGGTGTGTCTCAGTCACCTTTGAGATGATGGCAAAAAAACAATCACAGGACCTTTCTGCTTGGAACAGGTACCTTCAAGAGAAGACAGGTGGTGCAAAGCACCAGACAGAAAATGTCACAGCACCTACTTGGCAACTGTTGCAAAAGAGCCACTACATTGAAAATTAATAGTAGGAAAATTTTTTAAAAATACATTAAGCCACTCCATTGCCTCTAGCAGTATGAAGACATTTTTGAAAATACCATAAGACAATCAGTATGTCATCCATGCAACCTACCCACCAGTCCACACGCTACACTGAGCCCCAACACCCTGTGTGGCTCAGATCTGCTTGGCTCAGACACCACCCGGCCATGGCAGCTCTCCCTTGCCTTGCCCTTTTATTTCAGATACTGCATGCTGGCATAAGCCTCCTTTGATAACTGAGATCATAGTAAAAACAAATGTTTAAGTATTTTGGCAGTTATACTGATGGTGCCATTTTATTCAAAACTGCATGTGTGATGTAGGTCAAATAAATGAAGTTACAGGATACTGTAATTTTTCATCCTCCATGTCCTTAAGAATTCCAAACCAGGGCTGGGGATTTAGCTCAGTGGTTCTGCCGCCTGCTTGGCAAGCACAAGGTCCTGAGTTCGATCCCTGGTACCACACATACATACAAAAAAATACAAAAAAATTCCAAGGCAGGCAAGCAGAGGATCTGCTGAGCTGCAACATGAGTCTGCAGCTGCCAAAACTCAGGCTGTGTGAACCCTTGTAAGCTGGATGGCCTGTAAATGAGGACAGATGCAGGCCAAACGTAACGTCGAAACAGATGCAATTTCTAAATGGAAAACTAACATGTATGAGTGTCCAGAATAATGGTTTCTGTGGGATGCGGCTAGGTGGAAACAAGGGGGGGCTTTAGACCGGGGCTCTGCCGCTGCATTCCAACATCCTATTTTTTAACATCTCTATGAGAAGATTTTAAAACTTACACACTTTAAAAGTCACAGCTACCTAGACAGAAAAAGATAAAATTACTGATTTTAGATGATTACATACATGCCTAGAACTTTTCAGTACAATCAAAAAATCAGTAGTACTAAAAGATCAGTAAACTGGTAATAAAAACAATTTTCAACTGTTTTGAAAAAATTTCATTAATAAAATAGAAGCCGTAATATATATAGGAAGTAAGGAAGAAACACGCAATGTTGCCAGATGTGGTGGTGCATGCCTGTAATCCTAGCACTTGGAAGGCTGAGGCAGGAGGGCTGCCTTGAGTTTGAGGCCAGCCTAGATAACACAGCAAGACCCTGTCTCAAAAAAGCAACTTATGTAAAATCCCTGTGTGAAAACAATTATAAAGCTTTAGGCATAGAGAAGACCTATTTACATGAAGAGACCCTTCTTAGATAATATTGGAGTGTCTCCAAATAATCCTCTATTACTGACAACAGTAACAACTAGGAAGTGTAAGAAAAGGGTACTTTGTACACTGTTCTCTTTGGGCTGCAACCCGGTACCAATTTACCAAAACAATGTACCAGTGGTCTTTTAATACAGTAATTCCTCTTCTAAAAAAGTTTACTGCAGTAATAACCTGTATTTATTCAAAATATACATAAAAGGATATTCCCTGCAGCAGCAAAAAACACTGGAGATAACATAAATGACCAAAATGAAGGGAATGGATGAATAACCAAAGGCATACAGAGTACCTTAGATTCTGTATCTTAGCTGAGCAGTGGCACATCCCTGTAATTCTAGGTACCCAAGAGGCTGAGGCAGGAAGATGTAAAGTCAAGCCCAGCCTGAACAACTTAAAAGAGATTCTGTCCCAAGAGTAAAGGAATAAGGGCTAGTAATGGTAGATTGCTTACCTAGATGTACAAAGTCCTCATTTCACTACTACAAAAAAATTTAAGACCATATTTTGGAGAAATGTTTAACATACACTGACTAAACAAAAGCAAACCCACAAAACTGAAATACTGTGTGCTTTACTATTTTTCCAAAAGTGGGATTAAAAGCAACCCCAAAGGACAGAATTGCACAGGACACAGCCTGAAGGTACCTACTAGTCTGGTAATGACCCTGCAGAAACAGGCAGAAGGGAAAAGGAAGAAAGGACCTCTTCTTTCTGAATATATACATCTGAGCTATGTAAAATGTGTTTTTACAATTGAAAAGGACAAATCTACCCAGAAATTTAGAAAAGTCTACCTGATATTCCATTGGGGCAGGGGAACCCTCACCAAAAATACCAGATAACTAGCAGCCTTTGAAGATTAAGGTTAAGATCAGGATGCCAGCCTCCACATCTGAAGGACTGCCTTAGAGCTCATTCTGGTCCATTAACAACTATGTAACCTTGCACGTGGGGTGGGGGTGGGGGTGGTCACCACACTTTTAAAGGATTCATGAGGATTCCTGGCACTGTATGCAAAGCACCAGGGAAACTAGAGGTTCTCGGCTCAATGTGTAACCAGCAGCATCCATCCATTTCATTGCCACATACAACAGTACACTAAAACGAACGACAAGCAGACACCAAAATGGTTTCAAGCATTATATCTAAAATACAGTTTTTTTAACAGTATGATCACATGACTTACAAGGTATCATTTATAACAACAATCTAACACTTATAAACTGCATTTATTGTACAGAGTACTCTGAAGAAAGAAAAATATGTACAGCCATTTGTTTTCATTAATACATCTATTCTGTCCTGCAATACTGGAAAGGCGGAATGTGTCTGGCACAAAAATAACCCCTAAGAGTTACAAATTAGAAAACAACATTTTTTAAAAAGATTTTTACTTTTCTGGTAGAAATATAAAAACTGTGGTTTATGGGGAAAATTAAAATAAGTCCAATTGTATAGGTGGCTTTACCACTTCAAAGTTTTATCCCTTAAACCAACCTGTCAACAGCACTGTTTAAAATCTACATATAAATAAATGGGCAGTGCTGCCCAGATAGCAGCACAGTACGAGCAACTCACAGTAATGCTTCGGGGTGTTCTCAGTGCAGGAAAGTAACCATTCATAGCATCCCACAGTAGGATGCGGGCAGAAGAGCTGCTTGGTGATGCAACCTGCACCTGAGCATCTGTCTTCTCACACCACCACCATTAAAGGTACCAAACTGATTTGTTTAAAAAACAAAGGGGAGATGGAGGACAGGACATGACAGCCACTACGTCGTCTTCCTGAATCCCTTTAGAATAGGGTAGATGTTTTCAAATGCTTCATAAATTTCTGCTCTGACTTTAGCACCTATGAAGGCACAAAAGAACAGAGTTGAGTGTGAAATGGCATTTTTAACATAGAAAGTAAAATAATTACCCTGAAGATGCAAGCATAATCCTCTCCCTATCTAGATTACCAGATGGAGGCATTAAAACATGAATAGTAGGAACCCTTGTCACAATCCTAGTTTTGTTTCTAAAATAGTTGTCTTAAAATGACCTTTTAAATGATCAAAGCAAGGCACACGGTGACTCCAGCCTCCATCCTACAGCTCATACCTGCATACAGTCCTGTACCTCCACCAGCTCTTAAACACACCAGGCAGTGGCAAGAATGACTGACCCTTCTCCCAACTGCTGCTCCAACTGGGTTCTTCTCAGTCCTCCTTAACAGTCTCAGGACAGTGGTGCTGAGGACCCCATGCATGAGACGACTGACCCAACAGAAGACACGTCCTAGTGCTCCCCACCCCGCCCTGCTGTCACCGAGCATGCTCTAGCTGAAGGCTCCAGGGCTGCAGTCAGACTGCCCTGCTCTCTCCCTCCCACTTAGGGGCTTTGTTTCTAGGGTGGGAGAATAAGAACAATGGTAAAGGCCTTTTTTACAAGCTGTTAGCCAACTGTTCCAACACTGAAATTTCTTCTCTGCACTGACAAAATGCCACCCTCGAAACTCTTTCAAACTTCCAGTTGCTATTTCTGGTTACAACTTACCTGTTAATACAACTTTTCCAGAAACGAAAATAAGGAGAACAATTCTGGGTTTGATCATTCGGTAGATTAATCCAGGAAATAACTCTGGCTCATAACTAGAAGGAAAATGACAAAAGTTGTTTAGAAATTATGAGTTTCCCATGTTTTAAGGTACAATGAGGACCTGTGCAAGGGAAATACTGAATAAACAGGCAAACTAATCCACAGATAGAGCACAGCAATTCAGCAGACTCAGAGAATGTAGTTAGACCACGCGAGACTGACTTATCACTGACCACCTACTGGCCATTTGTCTTCCTATTAACTATGAATCTAGATTTCCTGAGATAACAGAAGAGATGTGTATTTATCTTGTTCTCTGATCCATATCCGGATTCACTCTAAACAAGTTTATTTATGTCAACTTAAAAAAACCTACTAATCATTTAATTCTAAGAGCTGATAATGACAGCTCTTGTACTGTATCTCAACTTCCTAAAACTGAAAAGTCATACCAGCTGTCAGTTTTGGCTAGGCAATTTAACCAAAGTGACACACCAGATACTAGCTTGAGAATGAATTTATCTTCCAATGACATCATCTGCCCTGTTCTCTCTATATGCGTTTAATTTGGAGAAAAATTCAGGACAGGCCTGACTGCAGTGAAAAGTTACACAAGTGTGCCAGGTACTCAGGTGCTATGTGCAATGGCCCCGGGGCAAAAGGAGTAGGGAGCTAATGTGGCCTTAACAAGAGCAGTAGATGGTGAAGCAAGCCTGTGCGATGGGCTGTCTATTGTGAGTCTGTACCAGCAAGCAGCAGACAGGAGTTGTGCAAAGAGTGATTCTGCAACTCGGTGTTGGTAGATCTGGTGTAATATTTATGAAAAGATTCCAACTAGGAAAAAAGTGATGCAAGAGGTTCTGGGTTCAATTCTTGCATTTGAAATGTATTTATTAAGCAACAAAACATATAAAAGTGGGATAGAATTCATTCTACTAAAGGGGAGTTCACTAAGCAACACAGAAGTGTAAAAAACCTGGCTAAGAAGTTAGAAGACATTACTGAGGACAGCAGGAAATTCAGTAATACAACTGTAAATATATTTGGTGATATATACTGAGTATTTTGCATGTGGTTTATCCTGAACAATGCTTAAAGAGATTACAAATGACCTGGTCCTGATTCTAGCACATTTCAGACTTACCTACTGAACTGCTGATGGGTAAGCACGAGACCCTCCAATCTTATAGGGAACTTCACATCACAGCTCCCCACCATATTCTGAATCTTGAAGTCCAAGAACTTGGCTGGAAAACCCAATTTCTGCACAACTCTGGCATATTTTCTTGCAGCTAACCTGGACTGTTCTTCACTAGGGAAAGAACAAAAGGAGTAACTTGTACTGAGTCAGCTGAAATAATTATTTAGATAACTTCTAAAAAGTCTAAGTCAGAAAACTATGGTAACAACATGTAAACAGTCATTATCCAAAAAGAGAAAAAAACCAACACATTAACAACTTTATTATATTATAAAGTACTCCTGTGTCCTTGACAAAAAAATCACAGGCCTACCAAACAGCCAAATTACTGAGGCCTGAGTTTCAGGGACAGGAACCAGTCATTGCCACCAGCATTATCACTACATCTGGGCCACAACATTCTACATGGAGATGAAAACTAACATGCTTCATCTCAACAGATTACTGAAAAATCCACATATTAACTATCCCCATATATATTAACTCTCGCTTTATCCACTCATGACACCATTTTTGGATACAACTGTGACTCAGCAGCATTGAGCTTCTGTGAGAAAGCAGAATACAAACAGCAATGCCACAAACAAAAGACTCCCAAGTGCAGGGATTAGGAATGATGAAATTAAACCCATGACATGTGCTGCTTTATTTTTTTTCCAGGAAAACAAATTTTTGGTTTCTGGTCTTCATCAAAAAATCACCCAGCCAGGGATTTAGCTCAGTGGTTCCGCTGCCTGCCTCGTAAGCGTGAGGTCCACAGTTCGATCCCCAGTACCAAACAAACACTTAGGAGAAAAATATTTGGGCCGGGGATTTAGCTCAGTGGTTCCGGCACCAAAGTTCGATCCCCAGTACCAAAAAAAAAAAACACCTAGGAGAAAAATATTTGGGCCAGGGATTTCAGTGGTTCTGGCACCCGAGTTCAATCCCCGGTAGCAAAATAAAAAGCCACCCAACTAGATATACAATATTGACTTATTAGCAGATGCCCTGGGACAAACAGGACTAAACACTATATGGAAAAGTCTGTCTTAGGAAAAAGAAGAAACATTTCTGGTGTTCCATTCATGGAAAAACAACTCTAAATGAAGTTATCACTGCATGCTGGAGCCAAGAAGAGTGGAAGCTGCAGACAGATCCATATCCTGCCTTCTCAAAAAACTCAGAGACCAGGAAATAGAATGGCCTTCTCTTCATTAAAAGACAATTTGAAAGTTCAGAATAAGCTAAAACATTCATAGGTGTCTACGTGTTGACACCTGCAAGTATGTTTGAATCATCTATTTCCAAAGTCAATTCATTTGTTTAAACTTTATGAAGCTAATGTCACTATTTTTCCCATTTTTAGAAGTTTTTGACTTACACTAAAGGTATGAACTTTGTTTAAGAAGGTTTGGAACAGTTTGGGACCCTGAACACCAACGTGCTCCAAACAGGAGAATACAAACAGTGACCTTTCATGACGGGTGTGCGTTCTTTAAGATATACAGAATTCATACAATTAAAATTTGTTCCAATGAAGGGCAGCTTGTATTTGTGGTCAATACACATGGTACTGCCACACTGCCAGATTCAACATGTCTGCAATGCTCTACACCATCAGCTTTGTGAAGTTTTGTGATCTTGATCAGTATTTTTAATGAAATTTTTTACATAAAAAACTTCTCTACATACAAGAATCTTTACTAGGTTTTGATGCTATATTAAATAACATACACATAAAATGCATCTGAATTGTATAGAAAATAAGCACAGTAACATGTTGAAAACTCATGCTTGATTTTAAGATGAAAAGAAAATGAAACCAATGCTTCCTAGAATCAAGCATTCTAATAGTAACCTTTGAAGTGCTAGCCTGAAAATCTAGAAACTGTAATCTATCACCTTTTCTTTCATAATATACAGACCAGGAGAATGAATTCCTTAAGGCTACCTCTTGGCTCCCGTGCACACCATTTTTCCAGAACTGAAAATCAGCGCCGTGGTTCGTGGCTCTCTTATTCTCATGATCACAGCAGCAAACCGCTAAAATGGTCAAAGAGAAGCATTAGTGAGGTCATCCAAACTGCTGAACTTTGTCTGAAGAACTAGAAAATGACAAAGATCATGACACCTAATGTGAAAGACCTAATTTATAGACATCAAAATATCTGTCCTCACTCCAAGATTTTCTTATACCACTTGTAACAAGAAGTAGAACAAATTACCTACTGTGACTATTAAGTTATCCTAAGATCTGTATTCTTTTACATATGCATCCCACCATGAGAAGATGAAGAATGTTTGGAAAACTTGCTTTCTGTAATGTAGGTGCTGTTTTAGGGGAGAGGGGGTGCTGTGAATTGAATCCAGGCCCTTGTGCATGCTAGCCAAATGCTATATCCACTCACATACATCCTCAGCCCAGTACATCCTCAATATAAAATATTTTAAAATATTTTATTGGTCAGATAATTACTAGCACTATATTAAAGATTACAAAATTATGCATTCAACTAAAGAAAGATTGTGACAGACCAAGACTACTCTTGCAGTGCTCCATGTGAAAGTCTTACTAAGAGGCTAACGGTGGCTCCAGACCCTTAACCGTCTGAGACCTCAGACAAAAATTAAAAGATCTTTGGATATCTAGACAATTTAAGATGTAGACAAAACAGTATTCATTAAAAATTTTTTACTTAATCTCTGCTCTCATTTTTATGTTTTATAACAATTAAAGATAAATAATAAACTTGTTATCCAGCTTTTCCAACCATTCCATACAAAAACCTCAGTTAACACATTATTAAAATCCTAAAATGATAACATCAAAAATTATAGAAGGCTGGGGATTTAGCTCAGTGGTTCTGCCGCCTGCCTTGCAAGCACAAGGACCCGAGTTCAATCACCGGTATAAAAAAAAAAAAATTATAGAAGAATGTGGATTTCAATGGTTTCTATTAACATTTCTACCCTAGCTAAGAGTTACAAAACTGTTTTGAACCAGACCATGGCTCAAAAAGTCAATGAAGGGCTGGGGCTGTAACTTAAGTCATGCAGTACTTATCCACATATATGAGGCTCTGAGTTCAGTTCCCAGTAACACAGACACGCACACAAGCAAAACAACTTGAGCTTTAAAAGCCTCACAAATTCATGGCTAAGAGAGGCCTAGATAAAAGCTCTGTCCACAACTATTTGCCCCCCAGCCAGACAAGAGTTTGCATAGCAAATGATTTATTTTTTAATGTGTAGATAAATATTTCAGAGACAGAGAAAAAAGTAGAACCAATCAGCTGAGAAAGTTGTTAGCTGCAAGTAACAACTTGATTCTTGGCACTTACTCTCCTGGTTCACATAAGCCAACTAAAATACAGCACAGAACATAAAGGAGGCTCTACGTATCCTATGTTTAAGACTTCTTGTTCTTTTCTCTTCCTCCATTGTCTAATAGCGATGCTTAAATGATGCTATTCGGCAAATAATGAAATTAAAGGAGAAAGCACAAAGCTGTTGTGGTTAGCCTGAACTGACTGTTTAATGAAAAGAACTGAGGTGCACTGGTGAAGGAAATAAGAGTTAGCCTGGCAGAACTAAGGAAACCAACACTGACAGACACAAACAGCTCACAGCTAAGTCCTTGAGGCTTTTGTAGAATCCACACATAACTGAATTGTGTTCTTCGGTGACCTAGCTAGCTGCACAAGGGCAGAGGAGCTGGCTTGGCCTCTTACTGGCTGCCAGCTATCAGTAGCTTACCCAAGGAATACAAAACAAAGACTGTATTTTAGAAACTGTCCCAAGTTGTTCCTCCTACACTCTTTTTCTTATATAAAACTTACTTTCCTTTGTTAGAGGAAACCAGTTGGATGCTAGTTTCCCTGGTAGAGGTGGCAGGCACCTGATACTCTGATGGATGCTCCCCATTTTGGAGAGCTACTTCTTTAGCATCAGCATCTCAGCCCTGTTATCTCCTTCAGACCTAGGTGTCCAGGCTGGCTCTGTCTGGATCTCTAAGAATGTCTATCCTTTTTTGGTTTTTGAGACAATGTCTCACTATGTATTTCACCCTTGCCTTGAACTCACTGTGTAGCCTAGGCTGGCCTCAAATTTACAGTGACCCTCTTACTTCAGCCTCCCAAGTGCTCGGATTATAAGCATGTGCCCCCGTGGCCGGCTTGTCCATCATTTTTTAATGCAAATGTTTACTTAAGTAAAAACATCTTTTCTACTGGAACAGTCACAAAAGCCTTTGACATATACTCAGGCTGATATCTTAAAAGCAAAAAACTTAGGGAGCTTTCTGGCCACTAATATTTTTACTAGAAAGTATATAAAAGTTATACAAAGGTAGAAAAATACAGTGAAACCTCATCCTTATTATACAACTTTAACAATTACTAACTTTTTTTTTTTGGTACTGGGGATCGAACTCAGGACCTCATGCTTGCCAGGCAGGCACTGTGCCTCTGGGCTAAATCCCCAGGCCAACAATTACTAACTTTTGACTACTCCTGTTTCACCTGTATGCTCTCTTCCCAACTCTCACAAGATTACTAAAGATCACACATCAGCCGGGCTTGGTGGCAAAGGCCTGTAATCAGGATCATGAGTCTCAAGCCAGCCTGGGCTACATAGCAAGAACCTGTCTTAAAAAAACAAAAACTAAATACAACAACAAAAGAATGCCACCACACCCTGTGTCATTCTTGCCCATGTGGTTCAGAACATTAAAGGTACCATATCCTCTTCTCTAGCTTTAGAGGTCCCCATTACAGTGAAAGTGTACACAAACTGAGTTTACCTCATAAACTGCTGAATCCCAAGGGACTCGAACATGACACATACTCAATAAAATTCAAGTTGAATTGACTTACTATATTTACTAAATATTCAAGATATAAACCATACAAATTTTACCCTGCATCCTTATTTTACTGTTGTCAAAAACTTAAGCACAGCACAAACTTTCTGACGTAGGAAATACTATAAAAAGATTCCTGTTTTACCAGATAGTTTAGTTTAAAGTACATGAAAACAAGGGCCGAGGATTTAGCTCAGTGGCATCATGCCTGCCTCACAACCACGGGGTCCCGAGTTCAATCCCCAGTGGGTGGGGGTGGAGGGGTTTACATGAAAATAGCTCTGACCTTGGGATTATATTCAGCATTTCGGGCACGAAGTGCAATGGTCTTTAGGTCAAGTTTACAACCGAGGTTCACTGTGGATACAATATTTCTGTAAGAAATTTGAATAGAAGACATGGTTATTTGAATTGCAGCATTTAACCTTTACACATTGGGTATTAAATGATGACTCAGGAATCTGATTCTTTTACTAGCATTTTTGAAGGAGACTGATGACAGTATGTCTTACTGTAACAAATATAAACATTCTCTATTTTCATCACACCTTGTACATAGATGATAGCTGTAGCTCACTGTTGTTTCTATTCTATTGCTTGTACTGTAAGAAAGTACTCAGGGCCGGGGATTTAGATCAGTGGTTCTGGCGCCTGCCTCACAAGCACAAGGTCCTGAGTTCGATCCTCAGTACCAAAAACAAAAAAGAAAGCAGTACTCATGAAAATCTGATGGTTCATAATCTTGTTGAGAACAGTGATCTTCCCAGGTGTGGTGGCACATGCTTGGAATTCCAGCACTCAGGAGGCTGAAGGTGGGAGGATTACTGTGGGTTCAAAACCAGCTTGGACTACATAATAAGTTCAAGACCAACCTGAATCTCATAGTAAGACTGTTTCAAAAACAACAAAAAAGACAACAGCAGTCTCCTTTGATATATAATTAAACAGACAGTAGGTTATGTTTTCACTTCCACAACATCTGTTTTCTTCCTGCACTTTGTTTTTTTCTAGAGACAAGGTCTCACTATGCAGGTCAGGCTGGTCTCAAACTCACAGCAATCCTCCTGCCTCAGCCTCCCAAGTGCTGGGATTACAGGTGTGCATCACCAGCCCCAGCTTCCTACACCTTTGTATACACACACACCTCACACCTCCAATCAGCTTTTCACCACCTATGAACATATCTGTATCAATTCACAAACTTAATCATGTAATTAGTAAATGCACTCATCTATTTTCATTACTTAAATATTTACCTCAATTCTTAATAAGTCTACAAGATTTTAGGCCCAATGAATTCCCACTTAACATGGCTCTTATTAGATAAGCAAAACTCAGTAATGTGGCTGACTTCAAAAACAAGTATTTGTCCCAAACTGGTTATAATTTATGATTTAAACCAAAATGCAAATTTGAATTCCCATGGGAATCAAATAAGCATGCAAGACAGCTGAGAGCAATGGAGGCAAAGATAACCTAACAAAATTTCTCTTTCTAAAATCATTAAAATTACTTTTTCAAAAGAATTGTGTGGGGTCAAACAAAACTGGAGGCAAGATCGAGGTCTCTGGGTAATGGTCAGGATCCATCATAAATGACACCTATGTAAGTACAGGATGATTAACCTACAAATGGGAAACACATCTACAGGGAAAGAAAAGGGGGCAGCTGTAACGTCATGACTGTAAACCCTTTAATTTAGCCTAAGCTTCCAGAAAGTAAAAGCTATGTACTTCTCACTGACTGATATCCAGCCATATCTGCCTGTTTTTCAGGAAAAAAAATCTCTACTACCACCATTAAATATAGAACTTAATTCATTCAGATAAAAAACTCATTTAAGCCAAGAACTATCATCGTTACCTTGTGAGGACACAGATCTTCAAAGATCTGGAGCAACTCTCTTAGTAAATACCAAGAAAAACAAGGACCACTGTGACTTGTGCTAGTAATTATGACAAACATGAGGCTGGGGCAGCAAATCTGCTGCAGGGGAATGTCTAACACAATAAAATCTAGCTTCAGTTTTATTGACACAAGTACATCAAACCAAGCAACCTTGTTCCTGAAAACATTAGGACAGCCATTCACAAGGGCACGGCTCACAAAATAGCTGTGGTTCCCTCTGTCAAGACACAGGGTCACCATGGTTCCACTCCCTCAGGCACAGAATATAACACACTGAAAAGGACCTCTCCAGGGCAGGAGCACACACATACATCAAGAGCTCACTGCAGAACACACACACATCAAGTACTCACTGTAGCTGCGGCACAATCCCAGAGCTCTCCGAGGCTGGTGTAGCTGGAGTGATGGGGGTCATGGGGGTCATGGGGGAGGGATACAGGGGAGTGGTACCCGGCAAGGGTGCAGTTGTAAGAGTCTGTGAATGGAAGAGTTGTGGGGTCTGGCCTGAGGCCCCCTGAGTTGCTTGCTGGGGTGCTGACTGCTGCACGGTTGCTGCTGCAGCTGCCACTGTCTGCTGCTGCTGCTGCTGCTGTTGCTGCTGCTGCTGCTGTTGCTGCTGCTGCCTCTGCTGCTCTTCCAAAATAGACAGGCTGTTGGTGTTCTGAACAGGCTGCGGGGTCAGTCCCGTGCCATAAGGCATCATTGGACTGAAGATGGGGATTCCAGGGGTCATGGCACCCTGTGGAAAGCAAAGGAAATGGTGAGGCAGGCCACTGGCATTGAGGGTTTGTGGGCCTTGTCTGGTGGAACCACAGATAAAATGTGTAAAGGCAGATGCTTTCTGAGTTCAGTGGGTAACTTAACTTTTTATTAGGCAAAAGCTTGCTATTCTTAAAACACAGAGCTGTCTTTTTAATACTGAACACAGCAGATGAGAGCTTGGGATTTGGAATCCACTGCTATTTATTACATGTGAGAACGTGGGAGAGGAAGTTGCCTAACCTTTCAAGTATATCTAGGGGATAATAACGGACTATGATTACAAATAAAAGGAGATAACTGAGTGACCACTATGCTCTATTTATGTACCTGGATGGTCAACTATGCGCTCAGCCTGGAGATACCTACCCAAAATGTTAAACAGAAAAACAGGCACATAGAAAACAATGAATTGTTATTCAGTCAACCATGATGATGACAATTATATTATTCAAAATGCTGATCACTTCTGTTCCCAAAGCATAAATCTACAATAGTACTACTCTGCTTTTCGATCGTGCGTCCAAGCTTTCCCAGACTCTGTTACACTTGCTAATTTATCTAGGTCTAACAGCAGTCCTTTGGGAAAGGAGAACAGAACTGTCCTTCCCGTGTAAAGATAAGAAACTGATGCCTAGAGAGGGCATACATCATGCCAAGAGCACAGATCTCACAAGCAGTGAGCTAGGGTCACGAGTGTCCTCAGACCCAGGCCAGTGCCTCCCTTACACCAAAATCAGTGGAGCCCAGAGTCTGCAGGGGTTGCAGAGGCTTTGTGGATCTCTTACAAAGTGAGATAAAAAATACAGTGAGTCCTGCTGCCAGAAAGGCAGGCCTGTAAGAAACATCACAGGGAGTCCTCGTCCACCTCATTCACAAGACCAGGCACAGTGACCTCTGGCTCCCTGCCCCCAAAGTCAAAATAACCATGAAACGCAAACATTTTGAATTAATTCAGGACATCAAAGTCACAACAGTGCAACTGAAGACACCAATGAAAGAGGACTTTAAGAACTGCTTCAGAAAGTGGCAAGATAGGGTGGGTGTTAGAAGGTGGGGTATTCTGAAGGGGCTTGATGGCAATGTCTCTTACTGTAATAACTTTTAAAATTTAAACACCACGGTTTCCAATCACATCTTGTATTATGTGCAACAGTACGTATGTATTTTGTGTGGAGGGGCCCCAGTTTTCATTAGATTCTCAAATACATGGAAGATCCCAAAAAGAGCCATGATTCTTTCACCAATTTATCTGGCAGAAAGCACAAGGTAAACATAACTAATATTTATGTTGTTTTAACAACACAGTGGCAGGCAGAATACAAAAGAAGGGCAAATCTATACTGTGGCTGTTAATAGTCTGGGTATTAAGTTCTATTGTAACTATCATTTATTTCTATAAAAATACTTGTGAGGAAAAAAATAAGTTACATCACTTTAAAATACTAAGTTTTTTAAAGGTCAGCCTTGCTTTCAATCACATGTAAAACTTAATTTGAAACAGCTCACAGACATAACTAAAACTAAAACTACAGTATAAGGAGAAAAATCCTTATGACTTTGGGAAGACAAGAATTTCTTAGACACAGAATATCCTCGAAAAAAAACTAATAAATTGGACTTCAGAAAAAAATTAAGACCTTCTAGGCAAGCCACAAACTGAGACAAAAACATCCATATTATGTACATGTGAGAAAGGAATAGAAGACATACAGAATACATAAAGCGCTCTTAGAACTCAAGAGAAAATGAGCAAATAGATCAAAACATGGCAAAAGATGTGAAGGACATTTTATAAATGAAGATATATAGCCAATAAAGCATTTGACAAGACCCTCGGGATCATTAGTCATTAAGGAAATAGAAATTATAACCGCAATGAACCAGATGTGTTGGTGCATGCCTGTAATCCCAGCTATTCAGGAGGCTGAGGCAGCAGGACTCCCAAGTTCAAGGCCAGCACATGAGTAACTGACCTAGACTGTGCTTCAAAATAAAAAATAAAGAGTTGAGGATGTAACTCAGTGGTACAGCATCCCAGGGTCCCATCCCTGCACTACAAATACACATATACATGCACAATCAAATACTATTAAGCAACCACTAGAATGGCACAAAGCAAAAAGCAAACAAACAAACGAAAAACCTCTATAGCCCAAAGTGCTGGTGAGGAAGAACAGCAACTAGAATTCTTTCTGCTGCTAGTAAACTGCAAAACGGTAAAGACACTTTAGCAAATGGTCTGATGGATTTGTTAAAGAGCTAAATATACTCTCGCACATGACCCAGCAATCACACTGCTAAATATTTACCCAAGACAAATAAAAACACAGCACTCACAAATATTTGTGATACTTTATTCATAATAGCCCCCAAACTAGAAACAACTCAAATGTCAGAGACTAGAGAATGAGGGAATTGTGGTAAGCCATACAAAGGAGTACTACTTGGGAATAAAAAGGTATTATTTACTGATACAGAAAATGTTATACTGGCAACCAACCAAAGTACATATTGTGTGTGACTTCATTTATGTGAAAATCTAGATAGGCAAAATTAATCTTTGGCATTGAAAAGCAGATTTAGTAGTCACAGCCAGGAGATAACTGCAAAGAGCAAGAAGGGACTTTTTAGAGTAAATGAAATGGTCTACAACTCACAGAGGTACATACAGTTATCAAAAGGTACACTTAAAATGATGCATTTATTGTATATAAATTATACCTCAATAGAGGTTACTTAAATATTTTTTTAAAAAAGATCTGTGACTTAGAACTTTTAATATAAAAAGGAAAAGATACAATTAGAAAATAATTAGGTGAGGGTAACTTTCAAAGTCAGTCAAAAACCTTTAGAATCACTTGGAACTTTCTCCTAAGTATTTGTCACAAAACTGTCTTATAGACAAATACATTTTAACTTCCAAACAAATGGCCCAAATAAAACACTGTGCCCAAAGACTAAAAGAACTAGTCACAAAATAAGGAGCCTAAAAAAAATACAGATCCACTTTCAATCACAGCTGGGTAAATGCCCCCCTGCCTTTGTGCTGTCTACCCACCCTATACCCGCCTGCTATATTACCTGGGGAGAGGCCAAGCCCTGAGCATAAGGTGGGAGGCTGTTGTTCTGATCCATGATGCTCACTTTCTTCAGCACTCAATCTTTTCCTAGAGCATCCCCAGCACACTCTTCATAGAAACTTCCTCAATTCTCTGGATTATCTTCACACACCAAGAATGAGTGATGGTGCTTAGAAAAAAAAATGTGAAGGTTAATTAAGGTAAGACACAGTTAGCCTGTATAGTCTTATGTGGGTAAACAAAACAAATTAAGAAAAACAATGAGGCTATTGTGGAATTTTTTTTTTTGTATTATAATCCCAAAGTCCATTCCCTTCTTTCATGTTTCCTGTGATGATGTTCAAAATTACCCAAAGGTGTCATAACAAGTGTTAAAAACTTTTGGGGAAAAGCATTTAGAGAAAACTAATTCTTAAGCATACTGTACTATCACAGTAGAACATAAGTACTGTATGTATATCCAGCACTGTTAGGCCAAGTTCAGGTTTTTAAAACATTCCACTCAATTTTATACCCTCCACGATCTCTTAGGCATAAAGTTCAATAAATACAGAACTGGACCCAATATACCTTAATGTGATCATTTATTGAGCTCCTACTTTAATAAAAAGGCTGTGAAAGTATGCAGATACAGTAATAACTAAAACATTTTAATAAAGGTAATAAGATTACTCCATAGAACACATTAATGCAAACCATGCCTATATCTGCTTTGCATAAATCATCATCTCTTATTGCCTGTGCATCTGAAATTATTTTCCAATAATGACTGCTAAAAAACTGTGGGGGGGCGTTTCTAGGAATGGGACCTATGGCCTGAAAATGCTAAGCAAGCACTGTACCCCAAAGCTACACACCTGGCCCTTAAAAGACCTCTTTTTTCTGTATTATCAGTTCTGTTCAGGTAGACCCGTAACTTGTTCAAGGATGCTGTGAGAATTGATAGACTCTTGACCGAGTTGACTGATTGTGTAACATAATAAGTATAGGCCAAATATTGGTATTATCATTATTAAATTTCAGTTCAAACATTTATTATCACCTAATAAAATATTCTCAAATAGAACTTACAGGTCTAAAAGTTACAGGTTATAGTCCAAAGACCCACATTCCATTTCCTGGTACAGAGGAGGTATTCGGACATTTGCTGAATCGATGAAAGAATGTGACAATCACTTGGAAAAGCCAAAGGACTCCAAAGACTATCTATACTACAAACTCATCACTGAGAAAGAGACCAAAGAAAGAACGAAAGCTCTGCTTTTGAAAATAAATGTACCAAAGGTATAAGAAAAATTACACTTTTTTTGGACATTGTTATAACAGAAGTGCTGCATATATAAAGATGAAAATACACTCCCTGAATCAAATAGTTCAACACAAAGTTATGGAAATGCCATGCACAGTGGTGCACAACTGTAATCCCAGCGCTTGGGAGGCTGAGTCCGGAGGATCACTGTGAGTTCGAGGCCAGCCTGGGCCACGTAGTGAGTTTACACCCAGCCTAAACTACATAGCTAGGAGACCTTATCTCAAAAAAAAAAAAAAGGCGTTTTAGTTGCTATTACAGAAGGCAGTAAGATCAGTCACAGGATTCTGAAGTGCAGCGTGAGTGGATGTACTCTGACAAGCTGCGTAGGTAAACTGGAGAGGAGAAAAAGGGGTTGACAGTTCGGTTTAAGGAGTAATTGCTACGATTGAGCCAAGATATACAAGGGCAGAATTTAAGGCCCTAAATATCACCAGAGATTTATCCACAACCTCTGGTGATCCCGACCACTTTTTGTAAACTTAAAGTCTACAGAAAAACTGGTTGGTAACATAAGGTAGGATGACTTTGGGTAGGCTATTCAGAGCTCATCTTTCATTCCCAGCAATGACATACCATCATTTCTCACCGGTAACACACACACGCACGGTCGTTACTGCACTAACTTATCCTTTGAAAAAAAAACAAAAAACGTTTGCAGAGTTTTCATCTTTTGGAAACTGAAGAATCAAACTGGAGACTTTTGGAAGGCAATCAAATTAATTCTGCATAGCCTTCTAGTGGCTCAATAATCTTTTCCCAGAAGAGCCCGTCTAGAGTTTTGGCATACCACGCTGTCCTGAGCGTAGAGATGCAGACCTTGCAAATAAAGTAGTGCGTGTGCGTGTGTTTATTTTAAGCTAAACTGTGCTCGAAGTCAAGTATCAAGTACTTATACTTATTAAGTATTTATAAGTATACTTATACTTATACCTATAAATACCTATTTATTTATAATAAATCCAAGCCAGCTAGTAGCAAAGCGGGCAGCCACAGGCTTGGGTTAAACCTGCCTTCCAACAAGGACCAAAGGGAAGCAGGACAGGGCAGATTTGGGGTCTTCGATGTACAGACTGTCCAGTGCCGGCTCGTCCTAGTACCCTGACTCGAGAGACGGAAACCACAGCACAGAAGGCATCCGGCTGGAGTCGCAGGCCAGCGGCAGATACAGGCCCGAGGGGCGGCGGCGCCAGCGGGAGGAACGCTCCTGGCAGGCCTGGGCCGTCCATTCCTCTCTCCTCCCTGCCTTCGCCGCCTGGCCTCGCTGCGGTGGTCGCCTTTGCCCAAGGCCTCAGAAACAAAAAAAGGTTAAAAAGGCCGTTACCTGGAATCACTGCGGAGATGACGACGAGCCCGCGGAAACGAAATTAAACCACAGGTGGCACAGGCGCCCGCCACGGCGACCCTTGCCGACCCCACTGAACTCCCGGCGCGCGTTGATAACGTCACTTCCGCCAGTCCCAACCTCGGCTTCGGCAGGATGAGCTCACTAACCCGCACTGAGGGAACTTGCGGATTCCGGTTCTTCCGGTGTTTCCAGGGCCTTGGGTGTAAAGGAAATGGGAGGCCGCGAGACAATAACAGTTCCAGGGCTGGCTGCCGCGCCGCAGCCTTTTCTGATTGGTCCTTCCGGGACGGGGGAAGATAACGTATTTTAAAGTTTGAGTTTTGTTTTGGTTTTTGACCAACTGGCGATGTTAACTTTTGCGAGCATGTATTCCTTATGGTGCTCGCAATGAATGTTAGCTAATCAAACTTGCTAAATAAGGGAAAACAAAACTGGATGGCTTGTACTTACAAAATCATTTATATTTTAATTCCTCTACTACCGTCTCGCGCACTTTTTTCCTGTCAAGAGACAGCTGTAGCTGTTTCATAAATAGTCCGGCTTACCTTGATTTCTGTCGCCTATGGCTTATTTAGGTGTGTTCATATATTGTGTTACTTATTAGTTTCCTTTGTATTTTGTATTATCAGTAACTTTCTGGGTTCATTAAGGGCAAAAAATGTATACTTTTTTCGTATCCAGAACAATACCTGGTGCTGTGTTAACCTACAGAGACATGAATAAGCACAACAATGTACTTCTGTGTCCATAGCTAAAGAAAATGTTTTGTTTTACCCTCTGTTTAATTAAAACAATAAATTTTAAATAATTTTTTTAACTCTTCTGGTTCCAGAATCGCATGTACATGTCAGTCCACTTGACATTAGGCAGTTGTTTGCTTGCATTTTTGGCTGAAAAGATAACATTCATATAAGAAAATCCATAAGGCATGTACAGATTAAATAGTTGTAAGACGAGTAAAGAAACAATATTTCCAGCACCACGATGCTAGGCCGTACCAAACAGGTCCTTGCTCCTCTATGAACCCTGAATTACGCAGAATGTACTCTGCTCAACGCTGTGTTTAGAAGAAGCATCATGTCAAAGTGTCTTCCCTGTGTCTCCTATCTAACTCCGGCTGGTTCATTTCTTGGCTGTGAACTGTCCCGTAGGATGACAACACCTTAGTTAATTTATTCATTCTGCTGTTTGTGGCAATTTGACTCGTCTCTAGTCTTCAGGCAGTCAAGGACATTACCGTTTGAATACTCGGTGCGCATCTTCTGGCCAGGGTGTACCCCAGTGTGGCTTCGCAGTCCTGAGGTGTGCAGAAACCCGTCTGTATCCCATCCCTGTCCATTTGAGCCGCTGTAACTCCACATTTTGGCCAAGTTTTCTGTACCGTTAGACGTATAAATTTTTGTCCGCCCGTCGTGAATTCGAGTATGTTGTTAAGGGGGAAAAACATGTACACACAAAATTTTTATACCCTGACATCTGTCTTGGAATAGGCGGCGCCGGGCTTGCAACAGGTCGGAAACCTGAGCGAACCTCCAGGAGCAACGAGAAGTGCGAGCTAGAAGAGCGCCTGAGAAGACGGAAGTCGCGTGGCTTCCGCTCGTGGCCGCCATCTTTCGGTGAGACAGCAGGAGAAGACCCCGTGCCGCGATGTTGTCCACATCCTTGTACTCGGGATCCGGCAGAGAGCTGGGGGTGGAGCCGTACAGCGCCGTGGCCCCTTTGCAGCATCGCTTTTCTCCCTATGCTTTCAACGGAGGGTAACAGCCTGGGGGTCTTCGCGCTTGCTTTGGCGCTTCCGGGGACGAGGCTCTGGGGTCGCGGCGGATGGGCCGTCGGGTTTCCGGGTGACTGGCGTTTCTTCGGCTGCGGGGGTCGCCTGGTCCGCACTAGTTCTACCGTTGGATGTGCAGCCTGTGCCTTCCTGTGCCTTCCCGCAGTGGGACGTTCGAGAGACCGAAGCAGCCTCTGCTTCGCGGACCTTAGCGTTCGTGGGGTCTGAACACGTTTCTAACGCCAGAGTAGGAAGGGAGCGTTCATGAGAAACTTGAAAGTGATGGTTGATTGGCCCGGGTTGTCGAATGCATGATTGTGTCTGTAGCTGAAATGTCTAATCGCTTTCAAATAAAAGGTGGGATTGGTTGGGAAAGTGCTTCTTAGATCGGTGCCTTTTCAACATTTAGGGAAACAGAAAAGAGGTCTTTTAATACGTATATTGTATGTTTGGTTCAGGTTGCTTTTGTTTTTAATTACCAGCTTTATATTAATGCTTTTCTCAAAAATAAGATTGTAGAAAGACGCACTATTTAAGGACTCTTAACAAGAAGAGCTGTAAATTGAAGCAGCGGTCAGGTCATAGTTTTATCAAACTTCTCACATTAAAACATGCAGAGTCAACTCTCGGTTTCTTAAAAAAAAATAAAGAACATTAATTGAGTTCTTATGAATTGTTGAATATGCAAATTTCTGAAGTATGTTACATAGTGAAGGACTGATTCCAGCCTTGGCTTGCACTCCTAGAGGGCAGTGTGGTGATTGGGCTTCAGTTTCTTGAAGCTGTATTTCCTTATCTTTCATAGCTGCTTCATACGTTGGTGGAGAATCAAGAAAGACTCATTTTGTAAACTGCAAGTAGCATCTTATTTAGTCCTCAGAATACGTGAACTGTGGTATTAAGAGAACTCATCCCTTAGAAAACTCACTGAAGTTAAACAGTCCTGGTCACACAGCTGGTGTAAATTGAGCCTGGATTTGGATATTTGAATTCATAGCTCTCTTACCACTGAGGTTATGTTTGTTTTTCCAGTGCACTCCCCACCGCCCTTTTTTTCCTTATGAAACAGTATCTGGCCAAGTTGCCCAGGTTGGGCTGGAACTTGGAATCCTCTTGCCTTAGCCTCCCAGACTGCTGGGATTACAGGCATGTGCAACCAAGCCCAGCTTCCAGCACATTTCTTAACTCTGCCTATGATGACTGACTACTTCCGTTGTAAGGTCGGTTGTTAGACACATCTTATAAAACCGTTATACATTCTTTTCAGTATTCAGTTTCCTTTACCTTTCACCCTCCTGGAATCCTGTTTAGGTCATTAGTTCCCTAAAAGTCCTTATAACTTTCTCAGTCTTTGTTCTTTTTCTTTAGCATTTTTTACAGCTGGCTCTCAGGCACCATCTGCTTCTACAAAATTAGGTTTCTTTCTCTTAAGTCTTTAGCCTGTGTCGATTAGCACTCACGTTTCTCCAGTTCTGCTTCTTATGAGTCCCTCAAATCTTGCTTCTTCAGTAAAATGTTTGTATGGGGGATTTTTTGTCTTCACCATAACACAAGAAGCAAACAAAACAACAGGCAAGCTATTTATTTCACTTGGTCACATCTCCTTTAATATACACCTTTTAATTATGCCATCCTTCTGCTTTTCCAGATTTAAAATTGTGAGTGAAACTGGTTTTCCCAGTTTCTAGCATATTTAGGTAGTTGACACAACTTTGCTTTTTGTGTTTTTGTAATTTTGTTTTTTGTTATCAAACTCAGGACCTCGGTAATTTTCTTAGATGTACCCATTTCTTCCTCTGCACCATCCTCCTATTGTGTCGAATTGGTCTTCCTTTCCTCCTATTTCACATGTGATGTTGTTATCTGAGTAGTCTTCTAAAACCCAACAGTGCAAATGGAGCTGTTCTCATTCTTTTGTTTTTTAATTGGTACGTTTTAGATATACATAATGATCATTCATCATAGGGAACTTGTACCTGTACATGATATATCTTGCTGCTGCTTTTTTCCCTTTTCCCTCTCCTCTCTTCAACTCCTCTCCCCTCCGCTGCTCTCATTCTTGGTTCCTTGCTAAAATTCCAAAATCTTTAGCAGTGAGTCCGTCTGCTTGCTTATACAAAGAGGGCTACCTGAATAAGTTACCTTGGTGTACTGTTGTGATCATTACCTATTTCCTTTGCTTGCTATTTGTCGTACCTGAAATGCCATCCTTTTCTACTGTAGACCCTTAGTGCAAATCCTCAGTAAAAATAGTAGCTACAGTTTTCTGAGTGATTATGATCTGTGAGGCACTGTGTTAGGTGCTTTATGTGGTTGTGCCCTTCAGTTCTCATGGTCACCCTATAACACAGGTTTTATTACTATCATCGTCTTGAACTTGGAGAATTTCTCCAAGATCACATAGCTGAGAAATGACTGAGGTAGGTCTCTGCCTGAGGTGATTCCAGACCCAAGCTGCTTAGTCATCACTCTTTACTGTCTTCATACACATCCACAATTGTAACTCACATTTACTAGAGGAGCAGTCACACACATTATAAGGACATTGCAGTTATTAACTCTTTTAGTTCTTGCAGCACCTTAATGAAGTTGCTACTGTTTTGGGCTCTGTTGTATATATGAGGAAAGAGGCTTTGAGAAATAATCCTGGGGATGGTGGTGCACCCCTGTAATCCTAGCACGTGGGAGGCTGAAGCAAAAGAATCACAAGTTCAAGACTAGCCTGTGTTACATACTGAGTCCAGCCTGGTCTACCTTGTGGGGGACTCTTGTCTCCGAAGAAAGGAAGGGAAGGAGGGAAATAACTCAGCCATAGCCTCATGCCTGCTAAGTAAGAGCCAGAATTCAGTACCAAGTGGTCAACTTTTGGAGTTTGTGCTTTAAGCTGCTTCAGTAAGCTATCAGAAATTATACAGCCAGAAAGGGGAAAGTTTGCTTCGTCCACTCATTTGTTGGCAGATACTTGAGAGTCTGCTGTTAGGCATGATATAAGGTCTTACAGATAAAGCTGTGAAGACACACTACCCTGCTCTTCTCTGACCTCAGTTCGCATTATAGTGCCACTGTCTACACCTGGTCCTCCAGACCACAGACCTGGCTTTCAGTTGTTTGTAATACTGGTACCTTGCATGAGTAGGTTTTTAATTTTTTTGATGATTATAATGATACATAATTCAGTGGCTTTCCCATTCTTGCAAGGCATTGCTCTGGTTTAGTTTTAGGGTTTTTTCCTGATGACTGGGATCCTTTCTCTCCCCTACTTGCTTCCCTTTGAATCCTCCTTATTCACTTGTGGATTTTATCCAAATGTTTCCTATGGAGCACTCTTCTATTTGGAGAGGTGGGATTACTACCCAGAAGAGTTAATTTTTTTGTTTGTTTGTTTTTCCTCAGAACTGTATTGGCAATTGCTGGAGAAGATTTTTCAATTGTTGCTTCTGACACTCGATTGAGCGAGGGCTTTTCCATTCACACCCGGAACAGCCCCAAATGTTATAAATTGTAAGTAAATATTTCTGATGACACTTTTCATGTTGCCTTTGTGATGATCTAATGCTTCAAGAGATACCACTTGTTAAGCTATTTGATTCATGAGTTTTTATGTTGCCTCTTAACATCATCTCTTGCATTTTACTAGAAAAGAGTTTTCTAAGTGTTTCCTAAGAATCCAATGTGTAGTCTCTCTGAGATTTGCCATATTTGTGTACCAGCAGTGCTTTAATAGTTAACACCCATGTGCCATCCCTAGATCCTCCACTAGTATTTTACTGTACATTAGCACATTTCTTTCTACCCCTCTGTCTTTTCTCTAAGTCTGTTTGGGGCTTTGTAACAGTACCATAGACCAGATAACACAGTGACCAGAAGTGCGTTAGCTCACAGCTCTGGAGGCTAGGAAGTATAAGATTGAAGAACCAGCATCTGCTTCAGGGCCTTCATGCTGTGTTACAGCATTGCAGAAGGGCAGAGAGGGCAAGAAGGGGTGCCACTCCCACAACAATAGCATTAATCCATTCATGAGGGCTCTGCTCCTATGCACCTCCCAGTGCTGTCACAGTGACAGTTAAATTTCAACGTGAGTTTTGAGAGGAACAAACATTCAAACCATAGCACCATTATCCATTGAAAGTTTTTAAAATCTGTGCTTTTTTTTCCTTCAGAATATTCAGTTTAGATATATCCTAAGTAAGTATACTCCACACCATACAGTATTAATGAGTTAGGTAGCTTTTTTCTGTAAAAGAGGAAAATGAAGCCATATAACCAAATGTCTGTACATTACCTAAATCCATCTTGCCGAGTGGCAGGATTTGTGTTTGATAGTTTCAAAGATGCTGTAAGTGGCTGTTAATTCCAACATTGGTCACAAAAGCCTGATTTGGAACAGGAGTGGGGTTGAGGGGGCTTGGGTCCTAAGCATTGGGTTTTTGGTTTACTAGAAATAGATGAGGAAGGAAACAACTCTTGTGTCCTGGTCCCAGGCATGATCCACGTCTTAGCAGTGTTGATCTTTGTCTTCCCAGCTCCCTTCTGCCCCCTTTTTTTCCATCTTTCTCCACCCGTGTACTCTTTTTTTCCTCTTCTAATATGTAGCTTTTAGAATTTCAGATTAGTAAATATAAAGAAAATTTTCAAACATAACTTTATAGATACCATTTTTGTGTGAGCTTTTGCTCATCTTGGTAACATCTGTTAAATGTGTGAGCATGCATCTGTTCTATGAACTACTTAAGATGTGGAGATAGAGAAGAATCCAGTGTAGCATTATCACATTTCCTTTGTGGCCCACCCAGCTCTGCTATTTGAAACTGTCCACACTGGTCATTCGTCACATGAGAACTTCATCCCTTAAAACACCTGGATATTTGGGAGGAGCATCTTGAAGTTCTAAACGCTAACCCTTCCTTATGTGTCAACCCACCATAGCAATAAAGGCAGTAAAGCCCTGTGGGTGATAGGAGGTCTTGGTTTTTGCTGTTGTTGTTTACATACTTATTTTTAATTGACTGTGGAGGTGAGAGGTCTTTTAATTCAGTGTAGGGAGGTTGGTTTTAACAAGATGGATTCAGGTGTAGATCTCAATACTGGGGTCAAGATTTCAGAGACAGGGTTGAATCTGAATAGATGTATAAAAATGTAACCAGTCCCCTGTTGATGGGTACATAGGTTGGGGAGGTTGTGTATGTGCTCACAGGTGAACCTAGGACATGTCTCCGCGAGCCTATGTGAGTGTACTGACGGATTTTCAGTAATGGGATTTTGAGTGAAAGAAGTGCCCATTTAAGTTTTTATTAGTTAGAGCGAAATTGCCCATCTAAAAAGTTACATCAGTTTATACTGTTTCCATGTATTTGAGAGTACTTGTCTTCTCCCTCCTCATCAGCGTGACTTAGGTGTTACTGACCAGTTGTCAGTTGAAACTACCTCTCGTGAGGTTGTGAGTTACATAGAGGCTCTTTTCCTGTTTTATTGGTGACTTGTGTCTGTTTTTTTCTGTTTTGTCGATTCATAAAATTTTACCCATCTTTCCATTATATTGTTATTTACATGAGATTTCTAGTTCCTTGTTTATTTATAGGAACCCTTGATAGACTTAAGGAAATAAGATGAAAGTTTGATCATGTATGCTACCAATAAATTTCCTTAACTTTGTTTTTCTTTTTCTTTTCTTTTTTTTTTTGTTTATTCATATTTTTTTCTGTAGAAATTTTAACTTTGTGCAGTCCAGGGCCAGGGATTTAGCTCAGTGGTGCCACTGCCTGCCTCACAAGTACAAGGTCCTGAGTTCAATCCCCAGTACCAAAAAAAAGAACCAAAAAACAAAAAGTTTGGTCCATCTGTAAGGAGTGAGACATAGGAGTATAGACCGACACCCCACCCCCCACCCCCCGTCCAAAAGGTCTGGCAAGTTGTCCTTTAACCATTTAGAAAATAATGGGAATAGGATTTTGAAATTAAAATTGTCAAAGATATGTTTTGTTTTATACTCTAATGAACTCAGCTTCCTGAAAAATGCTTTTTACAGAACAGACAAAACAGTCATTGGATGCAGCGGTTTTCATGGAGACTGCCTTACCCTGACAAAGATTATTGAAGCAAGACTAAAGGTAGATGCTCTTGTGCATGCCTGTGCTGTTGAAGATTAGTAAGAGGTCCTAAGATTCTTTTAACACCTACTGCATGACTGCTTAGAAAGCTGGAGATGTTCTAAGTTAGCTGTCAAAACTGTGACATATCCAAAAATGAACTCACACCCTTGATGCAGGATCATTAAAGTCCCATGATGTGAAACTGTAGTACATTCCATTTGTTAAAATCTCCAGACCATGTAAAAATCTTCTGAGGGTACTCTTCCTTCCAAAACAAAACAAGTAACAAAACTTCTGGCAGGAGGTAGCCCAGACTATTAGACGGAAACTTGAGTGAACTGTCTGCTCACATGCTGTCCTTCTTTAGGCCTTTGCACTCTTAGTTGACAGGACAACAGGAGTAGGAAGAGACTACAGGCGTGGGCGAGACGCACAACCCATTACCTGACAGGCACCGGTGGTGTTCAGCTCAGGGAAGTTTGACCTGAAGACATCAGCAGGACTGATCAAATCTGTTTCACCTTCTACCACTTCAGGTTACTTACTGTGGGTATTGTCACAATCACTGAAGCAGGTCACTGAATCGGATAGCGTTTAATTAACTGAAACTTACTTTCTGACTGCTTATAAAAGATCTGACTCATTAGTACACACCTGTAGTCCCAGTACTCAGAGGATCTTTATTGTGAATTATCTTGGAAAGAAATTCCTCTAATCAACTTATTCATTTATGTAGTACAGTTCATTTGTAATCATTTGTCTGTATTTTGACTGCCATTATTTAATTTTATAATACTTTGGTTTTTCAGTGGGGTGGTTTTTCATTTTTTAAAAATTTTACAGTACTTTCAGACTTATCTTTGGAGATGCTTGCTGTGTGATTGACAACTGGTAAACTTAAATCCATTTTTGTGTCTGTGATTTTTGTGGAATTTCTTTGTTAGTGGGATAATAGCATTCCCATGGGGTGATAAATCTAGGATTATGAAATCACTGCATTGTCATCCTAGGATCCTGGTTTTGGTTTTTTGTTTTGTTTTTTGTCTTGCAGTACTAGGGAATGAACCCAGGTTTTTGCACTGGATGTTTTGCCCAGCCCTCTATATATTTTATTTTGAGACAGGATGTCACTGAGATTCCTTTACTGGGCTCAAACTTATTATCCTCCTGCCTCAGCCTCCCAGAGTGCGAGGATCACAGGCTGCAACACCATGCCCAGCCCTAAGATCCTGTTTTTCATGCTTATGTTCTCTGCTGTAGGTGCTCTGAGGAACAAGACCACTACTCTGAATCAGAATTATGTAGAGTAAGGATGTTGCCTTTAGATCTCGTGTTTACAAAGAGAGGAACTACCTTGGGTCTGCTGGAGGTCAGCAGACTTAATGTGTATCTGTAAAGGGGCAGATAGCATTTTCAGCTTAGTGGGCTATTTGGTCTCTGTTATAACTACCCAACTTTTATGTTGTATGGAAAAGATAGAAATAGTATGTAGTGAATGAGTGTGGCTGTGCCCCAGTAAACTTCAATTTGCAGACACAGGTAGTAGGCTGGGTTTGCTCAGGGACCATATATACCATAGTTTCTCAGCCCCTAGTTCAGGTGCACACTGAGGCAGAGATGGGCTGGGAACATCATCCCAGGACATCGCGTGCTGTTTGTATGGATCCGCTCTTGAGCTAGCAGTCCCTGAGTTGAAGGTGACATGGGAAATAGGCTCTCTCTCTCTCTTTTTAAACACATTCTTTAAACCAGAGGGTTTAGAGCAAACTTAGCATTTTTCTTCTCACAATTCTCATAAGTTATTTAATGTTAGTAATATTGTGTTGTTTGATCATGAAAGGAACGGGCAGCATTTGCTCTGTATGCAGGTCATCTGCTGGGCTGTGACAAATTCTGCCTCCATGTCCCTGTTATATTTATTGTGCAGATGTACAAGCATTCCAATAATAAGGCCATGACAACAGGAGCAATTGCTGCGATGCTGTCTACAATCCTGTACTCCAGGCGCTTCTTCCCATACTACGTTTACAACATTATTGGGGGACTCGATGAAGAAGGTAGAGTTGTGCTTTCTCTCCGGTGGAGGGAACAGTGTTTCTAAATGTGTGCATTTCCATCTGGGGTCGAAAACAACCATGAACGCCATCTCTAGCACAGCAGCTTCACTTTGTGATCATGGAAGTAAGGAGATTGCAGCTAGGAGGGAGTAAAGGATACCCAGAAGCACGCAGTGAGTGCTGTTCGTAGTGCGTGTGGGAGAGCCAATTCTTTTACAGTTTTCTCAGGCCTTTGACATCAGTAATAATAATTAGCATTTTTATCTTACAGAAAGAAATCTGATCTAGAGAAGTTTGAATTAAATGTAGTTCAGTGACAAGTAACAAATACAGTTGGCTCAAATATTTTTGAAAAATGATGTCTTAGAAGCACTGAGGTAATTAATACTTGCACTTACCCTGCTGTTCCCAGAATCTTGTTTGAAATAGCTCTGTGAGAGTAAGATAGGGGGGTCTGTGAGAATCAAGTCTATAACCCTGGTGTTTTTGATCCAAAACTGCATTACCCCATATGGGCACTCATGTTTTCCACCAGTTCTACGGTCTTCCAGGCTAGATCCATGCCACCATGTAGAAAAGTCTGTTGGGATAAGGAATTATAGAAACATCTGGATAAAGACACAATGGAGAAAATCTATCTTCTGTTTTATTCAGCAGGATCTGTAGCTGGAGTTGCCCCAAAAGTGACACAATTCCTTCAGGGGCCTGCCCCAAACCTAGTTGGGATTCCCAAGACAGAAGCACTAAATGTCAGGGTGATCAGCCCAAAGCATTTGTTAGGGGAATATCCCTGCTGTGGGAGTCCTCCAGATGGGCAGCAGACGAGAGGTCTTCTACCCAGCTGGGGCTGCCGCAGGGGAGCCCAGTTAAGAGCTCAGATGAAAGGTGAGGGATTTGATTCAGGGCCGGGACTAGTTTCTAGTGGCTTAGCAACAAGTTGTCAAGTGACAACCCCAGCTTGTGTCCTCCCATAACAGCGGACTTGATCCCAGCCGTCAATGCACCTCATTCCAGACTTGACAGAAAGCAGAAGTGCCCTGGAGCCCTGCATCTTGTGAGGGAAAATCCTGCCTATTCTTAGATTGGTACTCCTGATCCATTCTGTAACAGAAGTTTGTTTCTTCCTCTTTTTCTGACTCTTAATGGTACTTCGGGGAACATTCTGGTTAGTTTATTTTTCAGGGGTTAGGCATAGACAAATTAAGTTGCCACATTTCTCTTTAATGCTTTTAACCTTGCTTGGAACCAAAAAGAAAATGCAAAGGGTAACAGTACACTGCCTGGGTGGCTCAGTCCTGGCCAACGATCAGTTTCCCTGGCTTACCATGCTGGGCACTTCCAGGGGCCTGGGGCTTAGGTTCTGTCTGGCTTGTGGTCGGGATAATTGTTTGAGGTTTTAGCAGCATTTCAGAGTGGCACCATTGGACTCCATGGGCCAGACAATGTCTTCTGAATTTTTTGAGGGTCAGAGAGTCTGGGAAAGCTTAGGTCCATTTGGCTTCCTTGACAGTGCTCTTGGTGTGGGGGTTCTCGGGCATCTCTGGCTTCCTTTCATTGTTCTTTACATTCATTTTTATTTATGTATAAAAGCATCTTTTGCCCATGGATCATTTTCAGCTCTTTCCCTGTGTGTTTTCTGGTACTTAACTTTATTTTCCGAACACTGATCTTAATGCCGTTGTGGTATTGTCCTTCAATGTGTGGTTCTGACAGATGTGGCAGTATTTTTGTTTTCTGTTCTGGCGAGAAGGTCCTTGACTCTTCTGTGTTGTCTTTCTCATTAGCACCCTACCGTAACACATTACACATGTGAGAAAATACACATATAATGTTCTAGAATACTTGACTTTGTCATGCTAGGTGGAATGCTGAGATTACAGTTCCTCCCTTAGACTGTTTTGGGTTATAGTTAACTGGTTTTGTACACTTCCTGCAACCTGCCCCTCACTCCACGGTGGACCAACAGCTCAGCCTGGTGCATGCTTCCCTGCACATCTTCAGCCCTCTCCCTGGGATTCCTTGCCTGTTCCTGGCCTCATGTTCCTGTTTTGTGGATCCCATGCTTCTTAATGGCTTCTTTCTTTATTGTAGGAATGTACAACACATAAATATTTCTAAGAAAATATGAACAGGAGACCTTTTTTGAGACTTTAAACCCTTCAGCCATGTCTGAAAGTTTACAGTGGCTCCTGGTCTGGTGAACTGTTTCTCCTATTCTTTGCTCCCATCCCCCCTTCTCTTCTTCCCTTGCCCCTCTCCATCTGTGTTCTCCACCATCACAGGGATTGATACTTCATACAGTATATTCTTATTTTTGTCCTGTATATTGTCCATATCTTTGTCTTTTCATTCTACTTTTTGTAGATTTCTTCAACTCTAGCCTTTCATTCTTATTGCTTTTATGTCTAGTGTCTAATTTCCAAGAGCTTTTTCTTTCCACCTTTTTTAAAATTATCCTGATTTTCTTAGGTGTTTTTGTACTTAATTTAAAGGATTTTGTTGTTCTTTACATTTCATTAGATGACTTTTTTAAATTGTATTTTTCTTACCTTCTGTGTTACTTCAGATTTCTATTGACATGTGGCTGTCTTGTCCACCTTGAAGGATGATACGATGAAATCCAATTATAAAGGAGTATGTTGCTATACCTTGCCACTGACAGGTTTCAGTTGGGTGCTTAGGTGGCTACTACTTCCTTCAAGGGAAGGTTCCTTCCATCTGTGGTCCGGCTGGTTGGGCTATAAGAGGAAGCCTGCTTGTTGGCCTTTAAACTGAGGAGGAGAAGAGGGCTGGTGGTCTCTGCTCTGTTCATGTCCAGTTTCCATCTCATCCTTCTCTTTTCACTCCTTCCCTAACCTCAGCCCACTCTGGGCCTGGTACCCCAAGTCCAGAGCCTCTGCTGATGTTTCCAAGACGGTTTACTGTGAGTAGCAGGGGGACCTGCAAGCCAGTGCTCCTTATTGAGACCTTCAAGATAGGGACCCACCGCTGTCCTTTAGTGTCAACACCTTCCACTTCAACGTCTCTGCCTTTGATCTTTGATCTTAGTTAGTGTTGTACTTCTAAAATTTTTTCCCCAAAATTAAAAGTGGGTTTAGTTTTTCTGCAATGAGAATAAACACATGCTTGCATACACACTTAAAAGAGTTTTATGTAAGTAGAACTATAGTATAGACTGGGCCTCCCTAACCTGAAACCTAAAATGACTTAGAATTTAAAAGTCTGAGCACCAGCCTACAGCTACAAGTAGAAAGATCCAGTGAAATTTTGTTTCATCCACAAAAGCACTTAAAATATTGTATAAAATTACCTTCCAGATGTGTGTATAAGGTGTATATAAAACATAATTTGATGTTTAGACTTGGGTCTTGCCCCCAGGAAACACTTGTGGTACTAAGCATTTTGGATAAGAGATACAGTACTCATCTACTGTATACATATACTGTATACATGTAGTGTACATCAGATCATTGGATACTGTATTATAGAGATAGTTTTAAGCTAATGACTCTAGATATGCATAATGATTTTTCCCCCCAGTACTGGGGATTGAACCCAGGGCCTTCACATTGGGCTACATCCCTTTTTTTTCTTTTCTTTTCTTTTCTTTCCTTTTTTAAAGGCCTTCCTAAATTTGCCTAGACTGGACTTCAACTTGCAGTCCTCCTGCCTCAGCCTCCCAGAGTGCTATGATAGTAGGCAGCATGCATGATTTTTAATGGCTGACATATAAGGTGCTTAACCAGTCTTCTGAAGGTGTTTGTTCCAAACAATATGATAAATCCTTTTACATACTCTTTTGTGGACTTCTCTAATTATGCTTTTCTTCTTGGAGAAGATTCTTATTAGTTGAATTATTGGATCAGAAGTTTGGGTTTGTTTTTGTTTTTTGTTTTTTTCTGGTACTGGGGATTGAACTCAGGACCGATGCACTTGCCAGGCAGGCGAGGCTTGGTGGCACCACTGAGCTACAACCCTGGCCCTTTAGGGGGGTTTTGTTTGTTTGTTTGTTTGTTTTACATTCTCAGTTGTGGCCACACCTCTAGGAAGGATGTACCAAGAGTCCTCTACCAGCAGTAGGCTTGAGAACATATATTTTGGGGACATCTTTTTATGTTTATTGACCTTTTGCATTTATTCTTTAGAGATTGACCATGTATTCAATTTGGCCTGTTTCCTTATTTGCAGATTAGTCTTCTGCATTGATCTGCAAGGACTTTGAGCAGTTGTGTTGCCCTTGGTCATGACCATGGTGCATGATGCCCCCAGTGATATACTTTGCCCTCTCTGGGAGGGCTTTCCTTTGCGGCATGGATTGCATACACAGTCTGATATGTTGATCTCAGGCATTTCCTGCCATGTTAGAAAGCCCCTCCCTGTACAAAGTTTATTGCTTCTCCCGAGGATGGCTAACTTTATCTTTTGCACCAAAATCATTATGCTTTTGGAATTTATTTTGATGGTAAAAAGGCTTTTCAGTCCAGATTTATGCCATTTGATGTTCCAAGTGTCTCTTAATTTTACTAGGGTGCATTGAAGCTCTGGTCTTGAGCAAATCTCACTATCTCTGTCTGTTCTGTGTGGTTTTCTGAGATCGAGTCCATCCTCTCAGGGGAAGCTTTTGAACTCACTGTGCCTTGTGGTCGCTCACCAATGGGATTGACTCTCTTTTGCCAGTGCATCTCATCTCCGTTTTTCATAAGGTTTATGAACTGCCCACTGCTGTCTCTTGTCCCAGAAATGCCTCCAGCATAAACATTTCCCAAGATTTTCTTAGTGGCCTTGTGTTGTCTTTCCTAGCAGGGAATTCAGTCCAGACATTTCTGCAGTGAAAAACGTATAAAACTAACAGTGGCAGGTGGGGGGTGGATGATCAGAACATTGTTCCTGTTTCACATCTCCCAAGGTAACTGCCAGAGCACTGCTATAGTGTGCTTAAGTCCAGCCTTGTGAGTGATCCGTGTTTCTTGCACCCAGAACAGAGTTGTATTTTAAAAAGGCCTTTTCTAAAATTACCAGTTGACATGTACTTTCTAACCAATTCAAACAGTACGGAAACATGAAAGTGATTCTTTTTTTCTTGAGTAAGTCTACACTCAGAGTCCTACACTCAAAGATAACCTACTGCAGTTAGTTTCTTTCCACACTTTCATGTGTTTATGTAAACATATATATAGTTCTATGCTTTTAACTAAAAAATAGGATCATACAGTGCATACTACATAGCTCTCCACTGTGCACTGTGGCTGTATCGCCCAGTTCTGTCATGAACGTGACTTCCTCTTCCAAGGCTGCTGAACAAGTTGTTGGTGAGCATGTTGAACTCGTGGGAAGCACATTTGGTGTAGTAGAAATTACCTGAGTATTCTGAATGCATTAACTCATCATCCTCTCGGCAGGTTTTACATTATTAACCTGTTTTACAGCTGAAACTAGCAGCCTAGTCGGCTGGAGGCTGGACTTGGCCCTGAGCAGTCTGCTCCTGGGTTTGCTGTCTTCCCTTTTAACACAGCTGTGCTATGTTAATTTTTCTATGCCATTTTTCTAATGAATTTTAGGTTGCTTGTAACTTTTGCTCTTTTAAGTAATACAGAATGTCGTCCTTGCTTGTTTTGGTGTGTGTTTACAAAAACACTTTTTAGTTAAATGCAGTTCTTAAAGATTTTTTGCTGAGTCACCGGGGTACTTTTCTGGTGGACAGATTGCAATGCCAGATTGTTATGAGAGGGATAATTTACACTCGCCTCACTTGCGTCTGTGTGACCTGTTCCCCAGCCACTCATAGGTCTTCTACTATTGTATAAAGGAGTGAACTGATCCTGGTTGTTTGTTTGTTTCAAACAATGAGGCTCTTCTTTATCCTTCCAGTACAGAAGGAAGTTGTTGCATTTTGTGCAGACTTAATCTTTTTTATATGTGACATTTGTGTTTTTCTGAAATTACTTCTTTATTAAATACCAGTTTTTACATTATGATGTCAAATAATGTCCCTATTTTTAAACACTCACAGTAAGTTTTTCATGTGATTGCTCACACATTTAGCACTGGGAAATTCTTAAATTGTTGGGTTTATTTTCAGGGAATATCATAAAGCATTTCATCAAAAGTTAGGGTTAGGTTAGAGTGGACCCATGACGGTTGGCCAGTGTCTCTGAAGCCGCCTTCACACTGGGGGCCACAGGACCATCCTTACAACATTAGCTTCAAGAGAGCGATTGGCCATAGCACTTGTGCCTCAAGCTGTAGTCCTGTCCTCTGGCTAGATTCCCTGAGGAGCAGTTGCAAGGAGCCGGGACATCTACGGGTGTCACCTGCAGGGCGGTTAATGTGCTCTGGTCATTGGCTGGAAGTTGTGTCACGTGATGACTGGGGTTATTTTTCCAGTGGTTTGGGCAGTAGTCAGGATACCATCCTCACAAAAACTGTTTTCTTCCTGAAGGGAAGGGAGCTGTGTATAGCTTCGATCCAGTGGGCTCCTACCAGAGAGACTCCTTCAAGGCTGGAGGCTCAGCAAGTGCCATGCTGCAGCCCTTGCTTGACAACCAGGTAATGAGCTGAGGCCCGGCTGCAGTGAAGGTTGGATGTGGTGTTTCCCTTCTGGTCCTCTTCACTCTCCTCCGGTGCTGCTGAGTTTGGCGGGTCAGACCTACCCAAAGCACCCTGACTCCACGGTTGCTCACCTGCTCCCATGTCTTTTACTTTTGCCTGTATTCCTCTGGCTTCTAGGTAGCTTACCGCTACAGTGGGGGCCCTGTTTTCAGTCTTATCGTGGCACCTTACCTGAGGTGAAAATACCTCTCTCCCCTACTCAACATTTCTGAGTTACTTAACTTTGTGTTTTGACTCTCAAGTATATTCAGACCTTCATTGTTGGATTTATTTCCCAACGTCCTTTCTGCCTCCACACCTAAATCCCTAACTCATCCTGCCCACTCTTGTGAAGTATGATTTGTGTGGCTGCCTCTCTGCTGCTTGTCTGTCTGTCTCACCTTCTGTCACCCCCCCACACACGCACACACACACGTGCAGACCGCTTTTCCCTGAATTGAAATGATGTACTCCTCCTGTCTTACCCTTTACCCTCAGGTAAGAGCATTCAGTCTCTTCCCCTTTGGTTTATCCTTCATGATCACCTGCCACCATATAACTTAGTTGGGGCAGTCTGGGTTCATTTTCTCTTGTGACACTCTTTGTCTAATGTTGCATGTACTCTCATCTTACCTTGCTCAATGTGTGCTGCTCAGAAGTGTTGGCAGGTTTCTGGTGTGTGTGATTCAACCAGGACTGGACACTCAGATGTGGTGTGATGTATACTGAGTGTGCTTGGATAAGAGCAGGTGTTGGGGGAGGCTGGAACCTTCCTCTCACTGAATTGTAACACCTCACACACACCTACTGTCCCTCCAGGTTGGTTTCAAGAACATGCAGAATGTGGAACATGTTCCGCTCTCTTTGGACAGAGCCATGCGGCTGGTGAAAGATGTCTTCATTTCTGCAGCTGAGAGGGATGTGTACACCGGGGACGCCCTCAGGATCTGCATTGTGACCAAAGAGGGCATCAGGGAGGAGACCATTCCCCTGAGGAAGGACTGATCTGTGGGCTATACCTTGGAGTGTCAAGCGAGTTGGTTTTATTAAAAAAGAAATATTAATTACTTTCATTATAATGTGTCCTCTCTAAGCAGGATAGATTCTTCCCACAATTTTCTGTTCTTCAGGAGTATTTTTGTGTTTTAAGTATGAAAACATAGATCATGTCAGTTTTTCCTCGCATTTGTGAGCAAGGAGTTAATCTGAAAAAGCTGACCTTGTTCTGAGAAGAGGGGTCTTGATATTTATCCTGCTAGCCTATCTGAAGGGACCACTAAACCACCCAGAAGGCACAGTGTTTATCATTGTTTCTTTAAGAATTTAATGCACACAAATACTGTTAGAGAAAATTATTCAACTAGAGTAAAAGAAACTTGCAAAAATAAGTAGCCCTTTAGATGGACTTTAGCCAGAAATCTGGGATAATTTTTATAAGCGCTTCAGTGTTACAGCTGAGACCTAGGCCTGTGGTGCAGCTGGGTGAAGCTTTAGTACACACAAGGCCCTGGGGTTTGATTTGATCCCAAGCACTGCAAAAAGAAAAAGACCGAAATTTTGAGAGAGCTAAGGGATTTATTGGTTGATGGGTTTATTTAGAACTATTTAATCCATTGTAATTCCTTTATAATTTTGAGCGCTGAACAGGTCATGCTATACCACATAACCTAGATCAGTGATGGTAAACCTTTTAGAGACTTGAGTGCCCAAGCCACAACCCATAATGCACTTCTGTATCGCAAGGTGCCAGCTGCAATTAAACCTGAACATTGAGGTTTTAGGTTAGAAAAACAACTGTTGTCCAATGGTCAGCTGCTGAGGCGACTTGGCTCGGTGCCGGCAGGGAAGACCATGCCCGCTGCGGCATGCGTGCCATAGGTTTGACACCCCTGACCTCGTTGCTGGGACTTGCTTACTAGCAGAATAACCTGTGATGTAATGGGAGTTTGTGATTAATCTTAGAAATCACTTTAGTTTACTTTGCCTCTTGTTAAAAAGAATTTAGTTCAAATCATGAAAAACTTCTGATTGATAATGTGTTTTTAAAATTCTGCCAACAATTTTGTCTGTATCTGTCATAAGCACTGGGGTGTAACAGTGAGATATTGTTCATTTTACACTATCTATTCAGGCTTTCCAAAGAGAACCAGTAAGATGTATGCATGAATAGGTATGAGAGAGGAATTCCTAGAGGAGTGAGCAGTCCTGATGGTGGAGGCTGAGGGTCCCATGCCAGGCTGTCTCCAGGCTGGAGACTGGAAAGCTCAATGTGGTCCATTCCCAGTCTGAAGGCTGAGGACAAGGCTGGTGTTGGGGGAGGCCAAAGGCCAGGGAGCCTAGATTCTGATGTGCAAGAGCCCTTCTGATAATCTCACTCCCAAGGGAGCAGATTCCCCTTGCCGCTGCCTTTTTGCTTATCTGGGCCCCACATCAAGGGCACATCCTCCCCACCCAGCCCACTATCTCAGGAGCCAGTCTGCTGGAAAAGTTCCCTCTTACACATTCCCATAGACAGTGTTTTACCTGCCATTTAGGGACCCTTTAAACTATTCAGATTAACACCTAAAAACCACAGTATCACAACTCAAAGCAGGAGGCTCCCACTCAGAATGTACATTTTCCATCTTTCTGTAAACTAGATGCCTTATTTTTCCAAAGGGTTTCTGCTGATTTAGGGGTTCTGTGTTTCACTAGTTTAAATCACATAAATATGTGTCTAGGAGTTTCAGATATCACCTGAGATTGCCAGGGATGTTCTACAAATTCAGTGAAGACTGATGATATCTTTTCCCCACTTCAGCTACAGATGCTTTTATCCTAGCACTCCTGTAGCCTTTGGATGTAGAAGATAGAGTGTTGACATGTGGCTCCTAGAGTTCATCAGCCAGCGATTATTCGGGGGGCATTTACAAACTGTCAGGCCACAATTCCTTGCCTGTGAAAGGCAATAGGTTGGAAGTATAATTTACTTTTATAGTTAGCCTTCAAGATTCTGCTTAGAAAGCTGCCATAATGTACAGACTCCTGCCTGCCTGCCACAGAATAAAATGAATTGAGAGAATCCAGCAGAACTTTGGCCTACTTTTTGAAGATGCGAGCCATATCTCCATCTATCTACACAGGTTGAATTTGGATGCATGTTGATGTTTGTCCTGTGATTGTCAAACAGCACAGATACTTCCCTGCAGGCTGCTCAGAGTGCCCTCTCCAGAGGTTGACCTTACAAACGTGAGCTGTGCCTGTGACCTTAAGGTGCTGCTCTGCCCTATGTCTTTCCCACAAGCTGGGTCCTACTCTGTAGGGTGACTTGGAGCCCACCTGAGGGGAATGTGACAGTCTAGGAAAATGGTCTTTGTTACCAGTTGTCTATTATTTCCTGGTAGGTTTTCTTTCCTGCCACTCCTGTTACCTAGGTGAGTCCTTTGTGACCCAAGAGTGTGTACACTAACATGCTTTCTACCCCGGAGTCTCCATTCCCTAGACTTACATCAGGGTGCCATAGAGAACTTACTCAGCAACAACTCGTTGGCCTGCCTGACTGCTTTCCCAGGATCTGGATTAGGAACATGGGGATTTTAAAGGAAAAACCCCAGGTGATAAGTGAGCATGTGTATATAATTTGAGAACTAGTTCCTAAGTGGACAGGTTCAGCAGGACAGAAGAAGGGACTGACCCTAACTTGAACTAAGTAAGAGCAGATGGTTGTCTCCAGAACTGTGAGAAATAACTTTTATGAGAAAGATAAAAGAAGCAGGTTGATCTCCACAAGCTGTTGTCTCTCTGGTGCTGGGGCAGGAAGGCACAACTTAGGCTGTCAGAATGGGCCTTGGTGTGGAGTGTGGGGTCACTGAGGAATGTGGGTTCACGGGTGCAGTGGGGATCAATGGTGAGGGGTGATGAGTCAGGATGAATGTGGAGTGGGGTCAGTGGTATGGAGTCATGGAGGGAAGGTCAGCAGTGTAGAGAGGATTGGTGCCGTGCAGGGAGGGGCCGGTATTGTGAAGTGTGTGGTCTGGAGTGGTGTGTGGCCCCAGTTGGGGGATGTTTAGGGAGAGTAGTGTGTAGTACCTGGCAAGTGTTGTGGGGTGTAGGGTCAGTGGTGTGATGGGGGTCCGGTCAAATGGGAAGTCACTGGGGGGAGTGTGGGCTTAGCAGTGTGGAGTGTGGGTCTCTAGTGTACAGCGTGGGGTAGGAGGTGTGCAGTGTGAAGTTACGGGGTGGAGTGTGAGGTTGAGTGTTGTTGAGTGTGCTGTAACGGTTGTGGATTGTGGTATTGAGAGGAGTATGGAATGTAGGGTCAGTGGTGTGGTCCCTGGGGCTCAGAAGAGTGTAGTGTGGGAGACAGTGAAGGGTGGTATGTCAGTAGTGTGGAGTGTGTGGACACTAGGATAGAGTGTGGGGCCTGAGGGTTGGAGTTCAGGGTCCATGGTTGTGAGGGTTAGTGGTGAGGAGTGGGCCCAGTGATGCAGAGTGTGCAATCGGTATGGAGTCAGGGACACAGAAGTCTGGAGCGTGGAGTGTGGGGCCACAGTGAGGAATGAAGGTTCAGGGGTCACATGGCGTGTGGTGTCAGTGGTGTGGATAGTTCTTTTAGTGTGGGTTCAGGTGTGGAGTGTCTAGTTGGGTGGAATGCATTATTCGTGTGGAGTGTGTTTAGGAGTGTGGAGTCATGTTGTGTAGTGTGGCATCGGTGGTATGAAGAGTGTAGGCAGTGTTGTAAATTGTGAGTTTGGAGTGGAGGTCAGTGTTGAGGTATGTGGATCAATGGTGTGGAGTGCAGGATAAGTGTTACGGAGCATGAGGGTCAGAGCTGTGGTGGGTGGGGGTCAGTGAAATTGAGTGGTGTGTCAGTGGTGTGGAGTGTGGCTTCAGCGGTGTGGAGGTTTGACGTCAGTGTGGACTTTAGAGTTAGTCATGTGAAGTGTGGGGCAGAGTGATAGCATATTGGTCCTGTGGTGTAGAGTGTGAGTCCAGTGGGACTAGAGGTGTGGAGTGTGGTGGTCAGTTTTATGGTTTGTGGGTTTGATACTATATGCATAGGATATGCAGGGTAGACTTATAATGGCTGCATGCAGGCTCAAGTGTAAAAGAATGCAAAAGGGTTGTGAGCCGTATGGAGGACTGAATGATCCAAAAGTAGGAAAACCTGGAGCTCACCAGAGAGTCGTGTTGGTAGCTGAAGGGGCTACATTGAAAGACTGGAGTCACCCTTCCAAAGCTGAGAGGCTGAAGGGTCTGCACTGGAAGCGATGGTGAAGACTGGAGTTCCTCTGAAGAAATGGAAGCAAAGTGTGATGTCTATCTTCTGCCTCCTTTTTATTCCACTCAGGCTACAAGCCTATTGGCCAGTGCCCCTCCCACCCAGAATGAGTCTTCTGTCTTCCATGAATCCCTTTCACCTATGCTAATCCAATTGGTTGGGCATTTCTTGCTCAAATTGACACAAAGTTAACTATCATAATCCACCCCTCGTCAGTTTGACAACCAGACACATTTCCTTAAACCATACTTAGTCTTCATATACAAAGACAAGTTCATAATTATACCTAACATGGTACAACTCTCCTGCATACAAATGGAAGTGTACTCATTCCCTCCCCAGAAGAGAAGGAAAGTTTTCTTTAGGTGATGGTTACTCCTAACATTTCATAACTTGAACATTATAATGTACACTTAGCAGTACTTAAGAGCCAATATTAGTCTGTCAACATTATATTACATAGGAACTATTAGGAGAGAACTGTTCCCAATCTTCGTTTTTGTAGCTGATCACTGGGTCATAGCTGGTATTTAGAACTACAGTACCTTCTACCTATTCTGTATTCCCTTGGCCTTCGGCAAGCACCTCAGCAGGTCTTGGTTCAGTCCCTGATGGAGTGACCCATACCTTCATTCCTGAAAGTTCTAGGCCATTTGTCATCCTGTCTGGATTGGTTGTAGTTTCCCATTGACTTTTAAGAGGGCATGGAGATATTAGGAAGCACCCTAAGGGATTGCCTGCACTTCAAATATATTCTTCCCTTCCTCCATTGTGGAGTGTTAGTCCAATTTCCCCTCCATAGTTTGGGTCAGTCATCCCTGCCAACACTGTAACTCCCTTGTTAGCTTGTTACTCAGAGGCATGAGGAGACCAAAAAGAGCAGAGGGAAGTCTTAGCTTCCAGTTCAATGAAATCATTGTCGGGTTTCCTGGGACAAGCCTTCCCCACTCTGGAACTAAGACTTCTAGGCCAGCACAGCATAAGATCATGGGAACAGGAAGCAAAAATTTTGATAGTTGATCTCTAGGGGTAAGGTGGGTGGTATCATTCCTACTTTGACCCCTTGATGGATGAATCCGTAAATCCTGACTGAGAGACAAGGTACCATATAGTAGATGCTGGCTCAAAGCATATTCAGCCTTTTGAAAAACCTGGCCCCAGCCCTACAAGCTATTTCCATTTACTTGGTGCTGTAACCGTGTCTTCAAAAGACCATTTCACCTTTCTATCAATCCAGCCGCTTCTGATGGTGAGGAGCAAGGTGAACCAGTGAATTTGAGCATGAGCCCATTGGCTGACTTCTTTGGCTATAAAATGTGTTTGTTGGTCAGAGGCAGTGCTATGTGTAATTCCATGACAGTGGATAAGGCATTCTGTGAGTCCACAGATGGTAGTTTTGACAAAGGCATTACATGTGGAGAAGACAAATCCATACCCAAATAATTGTCTGTGCCAGTAAGGACAAAGCTCTGCCCTTTCCATGATGGTCCAATATAACCAACCTGCCACCAGGCACAGGCTGATCCCTCCAGGGAATGTTATCATATCAGGGACTGATTGTTGGTCTCTGCCACTGACATATCAGGCATTCAGCAGTGGCTGTAGCCAGATCAGCCTTGGTGAGTGGAACCATGTTGCTGAGCCCCTGTATAGCCTCCATCCCTGTCCCCATGGCCACTCTGTTTATGAGCCCACTGGGCTGAAGAAAGAGGTTGACTGCTGTCTACACAATGGGTCATCCTATCCACTTGATTATTAAAGGCACCTTCTGCTGAGGTCACTTTTGGTGAGTGTTGGGATACAAACATATTTAAGCCTTTGGCCATACGAAGTGGTCTATCTACATACCTCTTCCCCAAATATCTTTGTCACCAATCTTCCAGTCATGTTCCTTTCAAGGCAAACCATTTGCTACAGCCTTTGAGTCAGTATACAGTCCCACTTCTGGCCATTTTTCCTTCCAGGCAAAATGTACCACCAGGTGTACTGCCCAAAGTTCTGCCCACTGTGAAGATTTCCTTTCACCACTGTCCTTCAGGGATGTCCTGGAAAGGAGGTGTAATGCTGCAGCTGTCAACTTACAGATGGTGCCTGCATAACATTCAGAGCCATCTGTAAACCAGGCCCTAGCCTTCTCTTCCTGTGCCAGCTGATCATATGGTACACCCCAGGAGGCCACAGGTGCATGCTGGGAAGCAGAAGGCAGTACAGTGGGAGTAGGAGCCACAGCATCTGGGCAAGTTCTTCATGTAACTTACCTGTATCCCCTGGACCTGCTCGGGCTCCGTCTATACTATTTCCATTTCATGATGGACAGTTGCTGTGCATGTCCAACTTTATGACTCAGTTGAAAAGCTATTACTCAGCTCATGATGGGCAACCCAGGCTACATGGTAACCTGATGTCCCATGGTCAAGTGTTCAGATTCCACTAAGGCCCAGAAGCAAAGGGAGCTATTTTGCAAAGGGAGAGTAGTTGTCTACAGATGATGGTAGAACCTTCCTCCAAAATCCTAAAGGTCTGTGCTGCAGTTCCCTTATGGAGATCCTCCAGACTCCAAACAGCATCTCTACCTGCCACTGACACTTCAAGTACCATTGTCTCTGCTGGATCATATGGCCCTAGTGGCAGAGCAGCCCACATAGAGCCTGGACCTGTTGCAGAGCCTTCTCTTGTTCTGAGCCCCACTCAAAACTAGCAGCTTTCCAAGCCCCTCCATAAATGGGCCAGAGTAAAACATCTAAGTGAGGAATGTGTTGCCTCCAAAATCCAAATAGGCCCACTAGGTGTTGTGTCTCCTTTTGG